TTAAATATGAACAACAACTTCAGGAACTAAACAGTCACAGACCGTTTCTTCTACTAAACGTATTGGTTGTAAGGTTAGAACAGTTGGGTATCAATGAAAGAAATCTTTGGTAGTATTTTCCCAGTTTTCCCCAAACATAAGATTTAGAAGTTTTTTCATATTAGCAACCTTTTCTTTTGAAATTGGGTAAGATAGAGGAAGATTAGGGATCATAAACTGGGCAGTGGACTTTGAAACATCGTTTCAATGGAAAGTTCCGGGGATATGAAGACTTATGTATAATCTTCAAAGCGGACTCCAATGTATTCTATATTTAATTTCATCATTTTATTTAAAGATATTGCGGAACTTCTTAATCGGGAAACTCGTTTCGAAAAATTCTTGAATGAAATGACAAATAAACTCACGTTGCTATAGTAACCAGTGTTGTTAAATATCCGCGGATTTTCAAGGGTAAATGTCCTGGAAAATATACACGGGGGTATTTACCCAAGATGGGTATTTAGAAGTATTTATAAAATTTAATTTAAATTGAATTGATGGCAGTTTTGCAAGCACTTCAAGAATGCAGAGTCGATTATCGATATACGAAACTTATTTATAACATCTACAAGAATGCTACAATGACGGTAAAATTGCATGAAAGTACTGAAAAGAGTAGAAGTAGTAAAGTACTGATTGTGAGTAAAACAAGGCGATACACTGTTGAACGCAAATTGTTCATCACAGTCCTAGACAGTGCATTTAAACAATTGGATTGGACCCAAAAAGGCATAAACATTGATGGCAAATGCCTAAGTAATTTGCGCTACGCGGACGATATAGTTTTTATTTCGGATAGCCTTGGAGAGATAACTAATATGAACGACTTAAAGGAGGTGTGTGCAAGAGTCGGGCTAAATATCAACGAGGAGAAATCAAAATTTATGACAAATCTTGTTCTCAGCTTTAACATCAACATTGGGGATAGTGAGATTGAGGGGTTGACAGCTATGTATATCTTGGCTATGAGGTTCGTGTATTGAGAGATAATCAAACAAACGAACTAAACAGAAGCATCACACTCGTATGGGGAGCCTACGGGAAACTTAGAGATATCTTCAAGTAAAAAGGCCAAGAAAGGCTTTCAATCAATGCGTTTTTCCAGTTATGACATACGGCTCCGAAACTTTAACATTAGCGGTAGCCACTGCCAGGAGAGTCCAAGTAACGCAAAGATAGAGGGATCCTGGGTGTAACTCTGAGGGACTACATACGAAATGGAGACCTATGAAGAAGAACTGGCGTAAATGATGTGGTCAACATTGTGGCAAAGCTTAAGTGGAACTGGGAGGGTTATGTCGCGCGAATGAACAATGAGCAGTGGACAAAACGGTTGTTTGAATGGAGACCGCAAGCGAACAGACGAAATAGACGTCAAAAGAATTACCAATCCGTCCAAGAATTAACAATTGGATTCAGACAACAAAGAATAGAATCCAATGGAACGGAATATGGGAGCTCTATGTCGAACAATGGACGCAGAGGGCTGCTTGATAATAATAATCATAATCACCTGATCTAATCTAAATTACGACAGATTCGTCTGATGATAATACGTCTTTGGTTGTTGATAATTCCTCGTCTTCAACATCCATTTCATTATCTTCCTTATTTTTTTTTGGAATCTGATATATTTTTACTGGTATCACTTTTATACGCACTGTTTGGGTATTTACCCTGGGCCGGGGTAAATACTCGGATAAATACCCATTTTAGAAATACCTACCCGCCGGGTATTTACTCGGCGCCCCTCACTGATAGTAACTAAGTAGCATTTAACGTTTTCCTCGCCTACTATAATTAAAATTTTGAATATAATCTTTAATGTTTTAGAATTGAAAAATAACGCTTATTTACCGCAAATACACTATACGTGCGATACATCATTGGAAAGCTAAAAATATGCTCTTTTCAGTAACATCATAATCAACTAGTTTGTATTTAAAAAATACAACTTTTATATCTCAATAATTATCAGATATGTTTAAAAATTTTCAATGGTAGTATATTCTACTCAAACAAGTGTCTTAAGAATGTATTAACCGCTTTTCTCTAATTTCAAAAATAAACGAAATATGAGGATTTTTTGAAATCGCGAAAATTTGACTTTTTGGCTATAACTTAAAAACCGAGACCGAGACATGGCATCTACTTTTTTCGTATCTCAATATATTTTCAATAGTATAACGATACTCAAAAGAAAATAATCAAAAAAAAATAGCAATTCCTTGTTCAGCTATAGGTAGTGAATATGAATATGCGAAGAGTTGATTTCTCAGATATGCTTATGGCGCTATACGACACTGAAACAAAGAATTAAACGCTAGTATCTGATAGATTTTGTTCATCTGTTAGATATGTGTGTAACCATTAGTTGGGTTCTATATCAGAGGAATCTTATGATACTAAACGACAATGAAAAATGAATGACTTGTTCCTTCACATAGTAAAATAAATTGTTTCGTCTTCTAGATATAAATTATTTTCAATCTTAAAAGAAACCTAAGACTTTTTATTTTCTTTATGTATTTCTAGTTGTTTTTCATTATTCTTTAAAAAATCTTAAACATTCTTAAAAATGTAGTCTTACGTTTTGCATTAAAATAATATTTCTTTATACAAACTGTACAATATCAATAATATTAATTTTAGTTGAAGTAACTGGGCTATTAAATTGAGGTCAAATAATTTTTGAAATGAGTGTTCAAAGTACAATTTATTTCTATACACTGCATTTTTCATTTTTCAAATGGTGATTGCTGAGACTTTTTGCTGATTTATTCTTTTTTCGAATCATGGAGAGCAGGGTCATTGCTCCAACTCTTAATCTAGAAAACCAGGCAATTTTGATCAAAATTTCCTTCCTCGAGCCTTTGATGACCCAACATCTAACCACAATTTAATAGCTATACCGAATCCTGGTAGATGAACCCTCTTTTTCTAGCGAGGTGTTACTTCGCGATCCCTCACACTTCTTCAACTTGTTTCGGGACAAGCTTTGGCTGGCTTCTTGCCAAGTAGGACAAAAGGTATGTTCAAAACATCTAAATTGCTCAGCTGGTATCAATTCAACCTTTCGTATTATAATTTGCGAAATATTTTGTGTAATACTTCAACGAAGTTGATCCTCAAGAGTTCTGAGTTTCTCAACATTTAGAAGAGAAAAAATATAACCATCTGCGAGTGTTTCCAGCGCAGTAATATGTAATATCTAATTCCTCATTCTGTAGTATTCTGTTGTTCTTTTCTGAGACAAAACTTAACACCCAGAACAGTGCCGGCGCTAGCAAATGAAGCGCCAGGGTGCGGGAACCGGAGTGGCGCCCCTTCCCCCAAGCATTTTGGGAGGAATGCGGGGGAAAAATTAAAAATTCATTTTCATTTAAAAAAATATATATAATCAAAGAAATACAAATAAACTTAAAAAAGACTGGAATAATCATAATCCATACTTCAGCAAAAATTTAAGAATTATACTGGTGAAAAACCAAACTTAAGGGAATAGTCGGGAATACTCTGGTCAGAAGGTTAATTTGCAAGAAAAAGTCTGAAATTGCAATAGTTATAAACTAGACTTCAGCAAAAAACAGGAATTACATTGTTCAAAGTCCACATGAAGTCTGAAATTACTGTTCAGAGAAAACAAAAAATTGATTATAAACCAAACATGATTTTTCATGGCAATACTTATGTGTTCAATAAAAGAATGCGAAGAATATGAACAAGAAACCAATGGACTTGTCTTGTTATTGCACAGGACAGGAAATCACCAATACGGAAACTTTGCCAATGCAGGATAAGCACAAAAGCAAAGTAACAGCTGCAGAAATGAGGTACCGGGTGGTACAAGATCCGTATAGATAATAAGAGGCTCCCAAAAAGATGATGATAGACACCCAGAAAGAAGTAGCTGTCAGATCAAGAACAAAACATACATAACGTTGGCAGAAGACTAGATACTACTTCTAAAAAACTAAATACTGCTGTCTGAAGACTAGATACTGCTCTGGAAGATTAAATACTGCTTTCTGAAGACTAGATACTGCCGACAGGTCTAAATACAGCGTCTGGAACACTAAATACTGCTTTCTAAAGACTAAAATTGCTTTGTGAAGACTAAATACTGCTTTCTGAAGACTAGATACTTCCGACAGGTCTAAATACAGCGTCTGGAACACTAAATACTGCCTTCTAAAGACTAAAATTGCTTTGTGGAGCCTAAATACTGCTTTCTGAAGACTAGATACTGCTGACAGGTCTAAATACTGCAAAAGAAAGATAAAATAGTGTTGGAGAAAACATTAAAAAGGCGCCGGCGCCCCCTTTTAGGCGGCGCCCGGGTGCAGTGCACCCCTTGCACCCCCCGGTAGCGCCGCCTCTGACCCAGAAGGATTAATAAACATAACATTTCTATTCGTTCCCTTTTTTGATTGACACATATTTTGCAACCTTCGAAAAATTGATATCTGACTGTTTGCCAATACAAACTTACAAGTGTTTAGTATAAAATGTGTTAGCATCACTTTAAACAAATTTTTTTTATACCTGTCTAATTAAGGATCACTATGTTAGAGATATACCGCTTGAAACTATGATGTTTAGGAAATATTTCAAGTCTTTCATCAGCTATAACATATTTGAAAGGGTTGTATGAAGATTTACAAGATTTTTTTAAAGTTTCCCAAAGAACTGAAGAACATTTACTACAGTTCGTCTATAATTCTTCAAAATTCATTAGGAAAACTCCTATTAGGTAAATACAACAAACCCACAAATGTATTTCTTAAATATCAGTTCAAATATCTTTGACCATAGAGAAATTATGAAAGATTTACTCATATGTAATTATCTCCTTTGGAGGGGAATAAAAATATATTGTGTGATATTCTTTTTTAAGAAAGTTTTAATTTTTTAATTGTAATGCATAATAGAAAAACACCTATCAGCATAGTACTTACCACTAAAATTTGTGTAATACTTTCCAAATGTTCAATATTAGTCAAAAGTTTATTAAAATATTCGTAATTATTTTCTTTATTACCAAAATTTTCAACCATTGACTCATAAGAACTTTCCAATTTTGGTAAGTTTGCTTCCAGTGCTTTAACAACCCCTCGAAAAGCTGGATAAGCAACTCCTAAATCATACCAAATACCAGCAGTCATCCCCGCACATTCCCATTTATGAAATTCATTCCAAGATTCGTCCCGACAATTTTCATCACAGTACATTAATAAAGTACACTTTTTACATCTAAACAAAATTTTTTGAGTATAAATTACTAACTCTTAATGAAAGCTCTTACGGTATAGAGGCAATTATATCATTTAAGCAATGATGACATTTATTTGGAGTTAATAAATCAGTTTCTTTGAATATTGGAGCAAAAAAGAAAGCTTTTTCTATAAACAAATTTTCTCCTTCTTGAATATTTCTAGTTGCTATAACATGACGACCTCTTTTATTATCATAACTAAAAGGAACCAAATATTTTAACTATTTGTTATAAAAAAAAATCTTTTTACCTAAGTTCAATAGCTGTAGAGGCATAAGCAAAATTGGGATTTTCCTCAAAATCCATCTTTTCACTGATTTCATTTTTGCACTCAGTAAAATCTTGGTTATTACAATCAATATTAAGATGGTTTAATTTTACAATTCTAGATTCTACAATAAATTAATTATTTTATGTTCTTAGTAACCCATAACAGTACCTTTTTCTTCACTTTTCATATCTGACTCTGAAATAACTTTTTTTACAACATTTAAAAAGTCTTCATTTAAACATTTTAATTTTTCTAAAGCTTCAGCTTTCCTAATAAAAACTTTGGGATGAAATTTTAAAGGATAATTAGAGTTTAAACAATTGTTTATATCTTTAACACAAGACTAAAATTAAAAGGATATCAATTATGTTACTTAAAATATAATAATTATAATTACTTGATAATCTTTTAAATAAAAATAAGTAGCTGATCGATTAGCTAATGCTAAAGAATACTCATCAGTATTAAATTCAGCATAATTCAGAGCTAAAGTAAAATTTTTTAAAGCTTCCTCAAATTTATTTTTTGAGAAGCAACCATTGCCTCCACTCCTGTATTTTTGAGATTTTTTTGTGTTCTTTGCATATTTTGGAGATAGAAATCTCGTTTTTAACCAAGTTGTTATAGGGTTTCTGCAGATGTATTAATTAATTCAGTGATGTTTTCAAATTGTAGCATGTACTTACAAATTTCCAGAATAAAATGACTGAAAAGCTTTAAATTCATTTTCCCCAAGAATAATGGATGGATATTCTTTAAAAACAGATTCTATATTTTCTTCTTCTGTACCTTGCATGGTTATTATTTAATAATGTTAAGAGATTAGGTGGTGTCAGAAAAAACTTTTAGGTTATTGACAAATAAACAGAACTGTCAAAAAATAGATTTAACGTTAAATTGGTTGCATACCGAGTATAAAATACGAATAAATTTCTGATACAAAAAAGTACAGAGAAAAGAGAAACTGAAAAGGTATGTTTAATTTATTTGAAAGATGATTTTGGACATTTACCACGAAACTTCTTTTACAGCCCTAAATTTAGGTATGGACTTGCAGCCAAGGACCGCGACCCATCAAGAATTTTGCAATGTTAGGAAAAAACCTAAAAAAGGAAAGGATTTATTGGTCTTTTGAAAAGGTATCCAAAAATTCTTAAATTTGTACCAGACCATTGTATAATTCAACATATTATAAGTAAATATTTAAAATTTGAAAACGTGTGGAATATTGTTTTGAAAATAATAAACGTTATTGGTGTAAATGCAAAAACTCATCGTCAGTTCAGGAATTTTTTAGAAGAACTGAAAGAGGAAGGAGATGAATCGGCGAATGATATATCATTTTACTGTATTGTAAGATGGTTATCAGTTTATAATGTTTTGAATCGATTCAATGCATTACTCACTTCCCCATTTGCATATTTTTCAAACAAGGAAGGTAATGTCTAGAACTGGAAAACTGGCTTCAAGATTTAATGTTTAATGCAGCACTTACAAACTCTCAATTTAGCTTTGTCTCGAACTGTATTTAAATTTCAATCAAAACTTTAGCTTTTTCAAGATGATCTGAAGTCAAAAACATTTAAACATTTTCCTCGATTAAAAGCAAGGTTTTTTAATATTACGGACGATAAAATTAATGAATATCAAGACAAAAAATTGAAGAGTTGAAAATGAATTTTAAAACCAGATTTGATGATATGAGAAATTTCGAATCAATAATTTCATTTTGTGTCAATCCATTTACAATTAATATAATTCAAGATGATTTTTCAATTTTTGATATAATACTATCCGACATAGCATCGGGAGAACTGGAAGTACTAGAAATGAAGGAGTATCAGGCATTACAAATTCAGCACAAAGCTCTTTCCCTGAGCAACTTTTGGAAACTGGTGCCAGAAACAAAATATCCTAATTTAAAGAAAGCAGCTTGTCGATTATTTTGGACACATGAAGTTAGTTAAGACAAAATATCGCTCACAATTAACTAATCAACATCTCAAAGAATTCTTGCGAACCACCTTGACAAATTATACGCTGGATTTTAAAAAATTATCAAAGGAAAATCGGCTGAGTTTATAATTATCAAATATTTTGTTTTTTGTTAGCTGTTTTTCTATTATCTTTAACTTTTCAATAACATTCCCATAATTATCGAATCCAATTTTATTAGATATATGACATGGCTCGCAAAAGAAATATTAAACCTGTATAAGGCTCCTGTTGATCTCACCTCTGCCCACCCCTGGTATAATATGATATTCATCAGATAGAAGAAAATATTGTCTATCAAAATATGCAAAAAAATATATACGTTCCATTTAGGATAACAATGTTGGTTACCATAGCCATAGTCATTTACCATAGTTATATATGGTTACCATATCATTTGACATCTGCAAATATGTCCGGTCAACATAATGGGTTACAAGCACATGTCAAAGAAAACAATAAATATACTGATTATGTGCCATGTGCTGCTCACTTCCTGAATCTTGTTGGTAAGGAAGCAGTTAAGACTTCAACTCAGATCATTAATTTTTTTGCAATAGTTCAACAAATATGTCTTCTTTTCTGCTTCTTCCCACAGATGGGAGCTTTTAAATAGTGAAGAAAACATTAATTTTCAATGGCTCAAAATTGGCTCAAACTTGATGGTCTTGCCATTATTATTAGAGCGTTAAAAGATAGTTATGGCAATATTAAAAAGTTTTAGTGAAGTTAGTTTTAATACAAATGAAAAGCTCGATTTTCGAAAAGAAGCTCAGAATGTATATAATAATTTAAAAAGAACCGCTAGAAACCGCAATTTTAACAGTGTTTTGGGAAGATATCTCAGAGAGATTTAATGCAATTGGCAAAAAGTTGCAAGGCCCAGGCTTAGACATATGTGAAGGTGTGAAATTAATTAATTCATTAGTAATATTCGTTAACCACATACGGGAGCAATCAGATAAAAGATCAAGAGAACATGAAGAGGCAGCGAAAAATTGGGTACAGATGTAGAAAAAGGCTAGTGATATAAATAAGAGGAAGATTACTTCAAAATTTTCTGACAAATCGACGGAAAAGATCTTATTGCGTGGGGTTGAGAAATTTAATCGGGATTCAGTGACATAGCCCAGGGCCTTCAAATTCAATGGTTCACCCCTGTTGTTTGCCAAATATCATTCCGGTCCTGGTGCCAGACCTTTTGAAAAGCCGAATATCCAAAAATGGAAACTCATTTGTATATATGGTTTTGTATATACATTCCAATTTCGTACGAAATTTTATCTGCCAAAGCAAAACAGTTTTATACTGAAACCTATGGAAATGATAATTTTAGAGCTAGCAGAGGCTGAATTTCAAACTTCAGAAAACGAAAAGAAAGGCATGGCTGCCTGCTTTAAAAGTGTGAAAACTATCCAATGATTAAAATCCCGTCGATCCTTTCCTAACTATATTCGCAGAGAGGATAAAAGAATTAAACCTCAGACCTACTCAAATATACGATGCAGATAAATTTGCTATGTATTGGAAAATGCAGCCTGAAAAACGATGATTATAAAATAAACAAAGAACGCGTTACATTTCTAGTATGTTACAATGCTGATAGTTTACAAAAATTAAAGCTGTTAGTGATAGGAATGGAAAAAATCCGAGTGCTTTAAAAACGTAAATATACCTGTTCAATATAAATCATCTGCCAATGCATGGATGATTACAGCAATTTTCTTACACTGATTTCATGGCTCTTTTATTCGTCATGTTAAAAGTCTTTAAAGTAAAAAACCTTAATGTACCTGAAAGATCTCTGGTAATCGTCGATAACACCTCTAGCCATGGAACTATAGAAGAGTTAACTAATGAGGATGGACAATTTACAACACTATTTCTTCTACCAAATTGTACTGCACTTTTGCAGCATATTTTATTGAAAAGGTCTTTTAGCCCATATTTTATCTAATAACGAAGAATACGTTAAGTTGTTAAAAACCATTAACTTGAAGGACGCTGAAGATCTGATTCCTGAGTCAACTGTGGCACAATCTGCTTTCCTTGGATGAAGAACTGAAAGGTAAATTACCGCATAGTTAAGCAAGCCTGAAATTATTCGTTTAGTTTTTCTTGTTGTGTCAGATATGATGAATCATCTCAGTGAGCAGAATCTCACGAACACGAAAATACGTAACTTGCTTGAAAATGAAGATTTATTAGCACTAGAAGACATAGATGGTAAAATACGGACCAGACTGTTAAGATTGATGAGGCATTTAAAAATGATGTTCTTCTATGTACTTATTAAAAGAAACGGCTTTTATAACGAACCAGAAACGGATCAAGCACATAAAAATTACAAATTATTTCACAAAATAATATAAAAATTAACAAAATATATGTACTTCTGTTCACTTCAGTTGGAAATAATCTTTATGTAAATACCATTTCTTAGTTGTTTTGAATTAAATGTTTCGCTTTTCAATAGAAGCGAATCATTTTGTAGTAATGCCGTTAAGTTTATAAACTTTGCGTCACTCAGTCAAATAGTATTTAGAAATAACTTTTGCCACATAACGAACTACAGATTTCTTCTTTTTATATGTGATAAGAAGGAAATCGCCAATATTTATATTTTCAGGATTAGGAATATCAAACTCTCAGATTGTCTCCACCTCTTGCATCAGATTCTTCATCATCGTCGTTATCAGTTAATTTCAACTTATTTTCACTTGAATCAGAATCTGACATTAGCTTCAAACGAGAACAATTCTTTTTCTTTTTAGGTTTCTTAGCTTCTGTAAGTCCTAATAAATTCTTGGCCGTTTTCAATTCGTCTGCTTTTGCTTCATCAATTTAAATTGTCGTTTTCTTTCCTTTTCTTCGTTTAGTTTATATTAGATAAACCCTGGATTTCTCCTTTTTCTTTCAGATGTCTGGAGACATTATGTCATGATTAGTCTGAAGGCCTGACGGACCAGCACTGGCAAGTAGTGAAACATTGAGAGGTGGAATAACATTAACACTATAAGGAGATGCAGCAATATCCATTTGATGAGAGGTCAATAACTTGAACATTTTGACTTCTTTCCAGCTCCACAAAATCTACTTACTGTTTCTCTAATTACTTTCTATTATTTTAAATTCTTCTTTTTAACTCTCATTGAAAATTTCTATAGGTGCAAAATCATCATCCCCAAAAGGAAATCTATTGAATGGCAAAATTCCTGGCTTTGTTAGATTTCCATATTGACCGTAACCAGATGGGGCTGTAACTTTTGTTAACCATTGATACGAATACAAATACGACGTTAAAGCAATCCACCTTTTATAGAAAACAAATTAAAAACATTACTTTGTACACCATCTTAATCAAAAAAGGATTATAATTTAACTGATAACAACTGCACGACGACAAACAAAAACTAGCGAGAGAAATCTTAATATCAGAAGAGACAGAAAGAGGCAAATAAGATGAAGTAGAGAAATACCTAGAAATGCCTAATAGCGGTTCTACAAAAGTGGGCAAGTGCAAACTCTTATAACCCCATGATTCTAGCTCGCATTCTCCATATTAATACTAAACAAAGTTGTAGAATATCCAATTCTTTTACTAACATTTTATTTACATATGAAGTGATATTAAAAACAACGAGATTATTGTCCCACAATTGGGCCTATGAAAAACTCATGCCTTTGTCGAGTTGAGACATCATCATCGGTTTTCTTTGAATGTTTTTCTCAGTGGTTTGGGAAACCGTTTACTTGGACCAGAGTTTCTACCGTTGGTTTTTACTATTTAGGGTCGGCTAAATATTTGCCAGATAAACTTGGGAACTACATTATACAGGTTGTTTCAGAATTGCACGAATGTACTTCATCTGTAATGGCACTATTTAATGGATGTATTCTTCAGCACAAAATAAACAAAAAAGTTCATATAAACATATGTCTCAAACTAATTTATTACCGAATATTGAAAATGAAAAATTTTAATTTGTCAATGAAGCGGTCAGAGTAAATGTTCAAAATGGTTCCCGTTTTATTGAATGCAACATTGAGCACGATGAATCCATGCTTCTCTGGCAAGTCTTATAGCATTAGCACGGCCATTAATAATTACTGAGGCTTCCACGATGCGATTTCTTAGGTGCCGATAGACGTAGAGTAAACCATAGATTTCATCCAGCCCCACACAAAATAATCTAACGGTGTTAAATCAGAAGACCGTGGTTGCCATTTCACAGATCCATTTCAACCAATCCATCAGTTATCATATGCTCTGTTTAAATAATCAGTAGCAAGATGAGAAAAGTGAGAAGGGACACTGTCATGCATAAACCACATTCCCTGCTTATCGGCAATCGGAATGTCTGTCGGAATCAGATTACATCTCTTGATTATCTCACACATCGATACATTTATGACGAGTTCTTTCACACTTGATGCTTTCAATAATTATCGTATTCATGTGTAATTTCTTTACATACAAATTTGTGAACTTTAAAACCCTACCACTCATACAACAGCACTAAATGTGATATCTTAAAACATGCAATTCCAATAACATAACAGTTCGCACCTCATTGTACCACTTCAAATAGTTAATATTCATACTTTATGTTTCTTGAACTACAATTCAATCACCATGTACAATTACGTTTTTGCTCGATAACTAACTGGAAAGAAGATATTTAATACAAATAAATTATGAAACAAGGTGTTTACGATAAGAACCTTTAAACATTAAAAATTTACATAAGTAAATTCCGTTGCATTTAATTATCCTGTATTGATTAGTTAATCATGTTATCTGTTAGCACTTTTTTGTGTATTATCATTATTCGATTTTCTATAAAACACGTCACATTTGAAAAGAACATAACTAGTATTGAAAGCGGTATTTCAAAAAGTATAATAATTTAAAATGAAAATATTAATTGTTTTTGTAATCGCCGCGATTCGATATTCGGCTTCGTTTGAAATCGTTTGGGATAATAATGTGACATTAAATGAGTTGTATCAAACCGAAATTGATTTTGGTAGGACGGAAATGGTTCGAATGCCAAATTGGTTTTTGATCTTTCCAGGTAAAATATTGTTAAATAGTAATATATTATGAGAGATGTATCATAATAACGTTGGATTTAGGTACTAAATGGTGTGGTGCTGGTAACATTGCCGAAAATTACGACGATTTAGGGGAATTTAGAGATACCGATAAATGTTGTAGATCCCACGATTCTTGTAGTGAATACATAGGAGCACACCAAACAAAATATAATTTGACAAATCCTAGTTTTTATAGCAGGTAAAAAATACTAAAATATTATCAAACAATGAGAAGTAGTTTATTTAAACTGAGAAACATAACAGGTATTGAGATACGGATTATTTCAAATAACTAAAAATATCTTCTTTGGTAAAGAAAAGAAAACGTAATATCGTATGGAAAAGAAAAATATCATTTAAGAACTTTCTTCTCCTCGTTTTTCTAAAACATTATAATTAATATTGACTTATAATAACATAAAACAATTGTCAAACCCACCTTATTTGACTTACAAACAATCAAGTCATTTTTAACAGCTTGATGGACCAAAATTAGCTTTATAATAGGATCCATTGCACCAAACATTTGATAAAATTCCGCTATGTTTTCAATATCTTTAACTAACGATTTACAATAAGCAATAACAGTATGCTTACTAAAATTAAAAAAGTACATAATTTTTATTATATTTTCTAGATTAAGTTGTGATTGCGACGAAGAATTCCATAAATGTTTATTAAGTGTTAACAGTCCAGTGTCGACGCAAGTAGGGATATTATTCTTTAATGTTTTAAGTACAAAATGTTTTAAAAAGGAATATCCAATTGTAAATTGTAAACGATACATTTACGTGCCGTAAGTACCTATTTATATAAAAATACTTTTTTGTAATTTATTTTTTTTTGCAGAGCTAGTAAATGTGTAGAATATGAATTGGATACAACTCAAGAAAAGCGATATCAATGGTTCGATATTCCTCCTTATTAATTTATATTTAAACAAAAACGTTACTTACTGTTCGCTTGTAGATCTAAGATAGGTAATAAATCTGAATATTAGAAATATTAGTGAACGCACATAAGCTTGTGAAAGTTTCCCATAATGAACTTCTATTAAACACATTATCTCACTGGCTTTCGCAATAAACTTAGGCATATCTAAAAAATAAATAATTCAAATTAATAATTTAGTAAATTTTCTATTAATTTATTTAAAATCCCACCTTTATCGTTACGTAAATAGTAATCTAAATACCAAGAGTATAATTTTATGTAATAAATATGATTCTTTCCAAATATTTTTTCATATTCAGCTTTTGCGTGATCCAAATAATCAACATCGTGGGTCGCTAAATCTAAATTTTTTTATATTAGTGATTAAACTTGATATCTCAGATGATTTTACTCAAAAATATTTAGATTTTTGTGAATAATAATTGTGTCAATAGTTTTAATAACGGACTCAAAATTGTGTAATTTAAGGCTAAAAGATATAAACAGTTGACAAAAATCATTACTACGCGGTTAATAAAAAAAACTGGACGAAGAGTAACCATGCTCGTTTGGTTACTCTTCGTCCAGTTTTATTCAAGAAAGGATTCTCAACAGCAATGAAGCTACTAGTAGAAAAATCAAACGAATATAATACCAATATACTTGAGATTCTTGTGTTACGAAAAGGTCTTCAATAGCATCGAAACTTGGGTTATACATAGAGTATTATGATACTACAGCATCGATAGCAGAGATAAACGGTTATTGCAAACAATATCGAATAAAGCAAATGCAACATATCAACTTCTAGGGACAGGCTATCTTTTAAGTTGTTCACTCTCGACGATATTTTTGAATGGTTGAACTGGACTAACACAGGAATGGACATAAAGGAATGGCAAATACCTAAATATTTTTGTTACGTTGACAATGTAGTAATAATTGCGATAGACATAAAAGACCAGCAAGAAATGCTTGTAGAGTTAAGTAATGAGTCGAAAAATGTGGGATTAAAGATGAATTTAAATAAAACGGAAGTTATGTTCAATGAAGAACCCAGAATATTCGTCGGTCAAAACGAAATAAAGTATCAGAATAGATATATTTAGGAGAAAAGATAGTAACCAATACAAAGAATCAGAAAGGGTAGCTTTCGGCAAATTGAGCTTTATTTAAAAAAACAAAGTGTTCAATACCTGTATATTAACCGTAGTATGCTATGCAGACGAAACGTAGACAATGGCCCAGAAAAACAAGATCTCTCTAAGATCACACCCCCAATGGAACGCACCATGCGTGGGATTTCCCAAAAAGACAAAAAAAAGAGAGATGGGACAGAACAGTATTGGTCTGGACGAAAAAAAGGATGATGTAATTAAAGATGTCGTCTCTGACCAACCAAAGACTTTTGTTGTGGCTTTGCCTAAACAAGATGCAACACACCTAGTAGGAGACTTTAATGGAAATGTGGGAAGAGAAGAGGTTTGCAAATCGGTAAACATATCCTACACGAACACTACAATGATAACGGACTTAGACTATTGGATTTCGCAACATCAAATAACCTCCACAAAAGTCAACGATGTTTGAGCATAAAAATATGCATAAGTAGACTTGGGTTATGAATGACGAGATAACGAGAAACCAGATTGATATCGACGATAAAAGTTTACGCGGCCTGGATTCAGATAGTGATCGCTTTCTGGTTAGAGGCAAATTCAGAGAAAGTATCTCAAAGCAAAAGAACAATACCTCAGAACAGCTGCCAACGTGGAACATAAAGGCTTCAAAAACAAAAAAAACTTAATATCAAACAATTCTGAAGACTACATTGGAATCAGTAGCATATCAAAACGTTGTGGGAAACAATAAAAAATTCAATGATTCACTGTATGCAAACCACCGTAGGCAAACGAAAGAATACAAAAAAGAGAAAATGGTTTGACAATGACTGCGAGAGTATCTTAAAGCTAAGAGGCCAGGCTCGACTACTAATGCTGCAAGATCCAAACGAACAAAATACACAGGAATACAGAGATTCCAGGAATAATACAAGAAAAACAATAAGATCCAAAAAAGGAGGAGAATATTCTCGAAGAACCAGAGTTAAATAGAATAAACAACAGAACTAGACTCTTTTTCCAGAAAGTAAAGAGTATGAAAAACGGCTGTAGATTCAGAGGTAGAACTGCAATAAAGAATGACAAGGTGATAAAGAAGTAAAACCCGCAGAAGATATTTTCTCGAAAATAAAAAAAATTACAAAAATATTTCACAAAATGCTTCTTTATGGAAACTCAGTTAATAGCGTCGAAGATATAAACAGAAACTGTCAGAAAATAGAAACAAGCATAGAAAACGTAACGACAGAAGCACTAGGGAATCACAGTATACAGCAACCGAGATAATAACAGAACACCGGGTTCTGCCAAGAAATAAAAGATAAATGTGAGGCAAAACGAAAGGCCTATTTAAACTATAAAACAAAAAAAATCCCAGAAGCCCACGAAACCAATAAACTAGTTCGAAATGAAACGAACTTGTTAGTCTGTGGGCGTTTTCGTTTTGTATGTGATCAGACGTTGGCTCGTTGTCATTCTGGATGAAACTTCAGTGACTTGATTCCGGAGTCTCTTGTGCATGAGAATTGTGTGTTTCTAATGGTACTATTTCCTTCAAGGACGAAACGGTCGAATTGTTTTCAGATTCACTGGAATCAGAATATGAGTGTTCTTCTCGTGTAGTAGCACACACTGAAGACTGTGTCTCATTTGTTGTATGGAATACAGCTAAATTAGCAAAAGCCTTATCAGGAATAACTTCTAACTAACTTCTCCGAAATCAGTCTTCTTCAAGTTGCTGGCGTTGTTCAAATCATAGAACAACAGAATTTTTCCCATTCCCAAAGGTTTCAAATGGTTTTAAGACCGCTTACTATAACGTGACATTAGCAGCACTTACGATGTTGGCATTCTAATTAGATGACGCTCCATTAAACATCAGCACCACTTTTTCGGCTACCTTTGGCAAAGTGGCCAAGCCATCTGATGAAAATAGTCGTTGTTATACAGTCTCTGCTGCTCATGGCAGTCTTTGCTTTACCCATTCTGGTTTCAAACAATTGCTACTAAAATATTATACCCTTGTTTGCAGCTATTCAACGGAAGTGAAGTGCTGTAAACTGAGTAAACTGAAATTGTATTATTGTAAAATAATAACAAAGTATAAACGTAATATCGTTCAATTTATACAGTATATTTTCAGAAGAATCTTAGACAGATGACATTTTAAATAAATACATTACCTGGTGTATTCGGTGCAACTATAAAAAAATGCCATCATAACGCCGTTACCAATCGTTCATAACTTGCTCTAACATTGCTTTGTGATTGAATAACAGAACAGCGATCCAATGGAAAGTCGTGATCGAGTTTAGTAATAGTCACGGTAGGAACGTTTACTTTGTTATAACCCTGTTACTTACTAACAGTGAAAAAGTAACAGTTCGTGAAATATCCTACAACACTAAAACTTGATACCAAGAGACATATTACCTGACGGCAGAAGAACTATTGGACGCACAAGAAAAATATGAATTGAACATGCTTTAGCCTATTTTAGAAGAAGCAAGATGTTAAGATTGAAATTTCATGGCTGAATTTTTTTATGATCTTAAATGCCATTGCTTTAAGTAAAATAATAATTGGGCTTATAAAAGATTGTTCCAAAAAACAGTAACTTTCCTAAAATTGATTCTTCTTTGGAAAAATTAAAAGAAAAATAATAAATAGTTCTGACAATCATAACAGCTTAGGCCCCAGTTGGCCCTTTGTACATCCCTACAATTTACAGTTCATTCAAGGCTCAGAAAACCAGCCCAAGGATCTAATATAGAACAGAAGGGTATGTTCTTTATGTCCGAAATTTTGGACCATGGTACTCCAAAAATAGATTCCCTTAAATACGCGAGGTTGGGGGTGTGTTCACCAGCTTCATATAGAACATAAGCTCACGTAACCTGCAGTATCCGGTCAGGAAGTGGGTGAGGAGCCTCAAGTCATTTTTTAATTTCCCAGGAACTGAGTTGATCTCTTCCGGTCAGGGTAGAGCAGAGGGTTTTTTGCAAAGACATCTACTGCAGTCTCATCCCATCTATCGCAAAAAGTTCGACGAGAAATGGAGTTGATCAGCTTGTTCCCATGATCGTGTCCCTTATTTTCGGTATGTCCTTCCCGCTACTTTATCGTGACGTTGTTATAAACATTAGTCTCCTCAAGTGATTGCCGACAGGACTTCACTAACGATGATGTAGTGCGATGCCTACTAAGCGCTAGCATAGCCCGTCTGCTATCAGTGCTTGCAACGTTACTGCTAACTTTTTTGAGTCGATGATTACACTAGCTGCTATATTCATAGCAGTTACTTCAGCCTGAGGAATCGTGCAGTACGACCCTAGCTAAATGGAAAGTTGCAACTGGAGATCGTGCGAGAAAATTCCTGCTCCGGAGCCTCCAGCCTTCTTTGATCCATCAGTGTAGATGGTCAGCGTTTTACCTGCGTTAAAGTTGCTCTGGGGAATCGTCTCAATGCCAAAGTGTGGCCTGTTTAAGAAAGTAGGTGTGAAGGGTTGTTTACGAACAGCCTAACTTCAGAGTTCGTTCCGGACTATTCCCATTTTTACAACCTACTTATTATCCACTGATCGCAATCGAAGCAACGCCAGCACGGCCACCTCCCTGATAAAAATATCTAGGGGCAGCACGTTCAGCAAAGTCTCCATCGCTATCGGGCTGACAATCATATTATTTCTTTAAAAATGTAACCATACTAAATACTTTTGAGAAAAATAATTGAAGAATTAAGTAATAAATTAAAAAACTTACAAACATCTATATTGTGTTGACTGTACACAAAAATTTCTTTATACTCGCTCAACGCACTTATTTTTTTGCATTTGTTACATATAAACGCTATATTTTTTTCAATATTACTTATACTTTCCATATATTTGAGGTTTAAATAGAATTCGCAGTCACTTTTTTCAATCGGTTTAACAGTTTTTTCACAATGGAAACATTTAAAAACATTCAAAGAGGCCTAACACAAAAAATGTTAACTTAAAAATATTATTAAAAAGTAGTTCAAATTACTTACAGCGTTAAAACATTTCTTACAACAACAATCATTTACGTCAGTTCTCCATTTAACAGTTATTTTATCACCAACAGAAATATCCTTAATCGCTTTTATTACTAAATAATTACCTAAAACGCTAAAATAATTTAAAAATTTATTTTTGTATACGTTTTCGATTATTTTATTAAATTAACTTACAACCAATCTGTATTTGGATGAGGATCATTAAGAAAATATCGTGTAGAAAGAAAAATCGCATCGGCAATAAACTCAGCTCTATTCTGCGCAGGAATTCCATGATATAAAACTTGTTTGATTTGAATCGAATTTTGTTGGAATTGATAATAATACTTTAATAAAGATCCTCCAATAATCGAATACAATTTGAATTGATCTTTATTTTTGTACTTTGGAAATTGAACGATCCACTCAAAAAAGCTGGTATGAACTAATAAGTACACAACGACTTCAACGCAATTCTAAAAGAAGAAATTAAATGGAACAAAAACCAATAAATATTTTCTTTGGTACTTTTAAAAAAGAAAACAATTTCTTTTTGTCTTCATCCAGTTTATAAGGAAGATTTTGAAAATGTTCAATATTATATTCCTTTTCGTAATAATTTTTCGAAATCGCGCCTTCTACAAATTGCAACTCAAAGAAAAGCATTCGCATTGCAACGTAATGAATGTCGTTTTTAGGGAAAAAACCTCTTTGCAGTCCAAAACATTCCCAACGATGATATTCGTTCCATGAATAATAACGACAGTTATATCCACAAAAGAAGATAACATCGCAACCAGGGCAACTTTAACAAAAATTAATTATTAAAAAGATGTGTTATGAATTTTAAAATTATTACGTTACGAAATATTGAATAGCTTTCAAACAATGATGACATCGATAAATATCTTCCCTAGCAGGTATTTCATATTGAGGATGATTTGGAAGAATCGCGGCTTTTTCAAGCAATAAAACATCCCCCTGATTAATATTCTTTTTAGCAACCAAACCATCAGAAAAATTTTTTTTATTTCTAAAAATTAATACTTAAAATGAATTTTTAAAGATGTCTGTTCCTTACGCAAGTTTTAATTTAGCTGAAATATGCGGTAACATAAAATTATTTCCGCCAGCTAGTTCTGGGAGTATTAAATTTGGGTCTGGTACATGAAATAGTTTAAATCTTCTTTCAGGAAGTGGTTGTAATTGCCCAAGATTATCAATCTTTTCGATTTCTGTTTTCAATTTACCACCTTTACTAAAATTTAATTTAGGATATACAATTTTTTAATATAAAAAATTTTTGTTGGTGATCCATCTGAACTTGCACATGCGTATACTGTATCAAGAACGGATGATTCGTACTACGCATGCGTAGTTACAAGAATTTTTAACAGTAAATTAATAGACTTACTTTAAACTAATTAAATATGATCCAAATAATTCCTCCTCTCTTGATATATCTTCCATTTTCGTTATGTTATATAGACTAAATTAAATTTCGATTAGAGAAAATATATAAAAGAGTTGAGACATAACCTATAATTACTTCACCACATTAGATTTATATATATATACATATAAATTATTATTTCTTTAATAAATTTACCACATTTTATTTACTTGCACACAACAACCAATTTAAAACATAAATGTTACTTACCTTTGTCAGTCTTATGTATTTGATATCTAAAGATTTCTTAAAGAATTCTCACCACCATGTGCAACCACTTGCAAAGTATAACGGGTTACAACTTGTAAACGATCACGGAGTCGAATAGCAACTATTGGAAGTCTACAGGAATCCCCTCTCTTTCTATTCAACTTTTAAATAAGCAAAAAACTCTTTTAAAAAAAGCTCTTATCTACTGGTATAACTAAGAATTAAAAGAATGGAACGATAAGGATATCAAAAGAAATAAATACCTACGTTCTCTGTTCGATAATCGAGTTCACTTTATTTGGAATAAGAAGAGGTTGATAGATAAGGTTTCTATGAGCAAATGTTTTATAAATTAACTTTCTTAAAAATAAAAATATAAAAAGTTGTAGAGGGTTTGAAAATATTTCGAAGAAGTTTTTTAAAAAAGATCTTTTATTTGAATCTCAAGAGCCTATAACATGAAAGGAAACTATTTTTTTTTAGAAGAGTAAACATGTCAATAGTTTAAAACTATTGACTATTATTTAAGACTAATTTCGAAATTAAAAGCTAATATGAATTAACCCTAAAGACACCATGTACTAGTTTTTTTTAAATTAAAAAAGAAAACATGTTCTTATGAGAATCTACAACCTGTTTAAACTAGAACAAAATATAAAAAGTTAACTGTTATTTCTTCAATTCCAAAGAGTTTATTTTATATAACTCATAAAAAAAATCATTTAAAAATGAACTTCCTAGTAACAAGCAGGCACCACACATGATACAAATTTAGTTGCGTAATTTGTGTCGATTCTAATATACAGGTGGCCTATTGAAAACGACCTGTCAGGGGAATATGTTATCGAAAAAAACGTGAAACACAAGTTTGTTTCTCTTCAAAGTTAGTACCACCAACATCCATATACACTTATAAATTTTGTTCAAATTTTTGCCTAACATTTTCCAGCATTTCAATAGCACCAATAATGCACTGTCGTAACTCTTCCAACGCAATCGCACTCGGTAGCATAAACTTTTGATTTTAAAAGCTCCCATTAAAAAAATCTAAAAGGGAGAGGTCTGGAGATCTGGCTGGCCATTCTTCAGCACTTCTTCAAGCTATCCATCATTGACCAGGAAACTTTTTATCTAAGAAGTCCCTAACAGCAACGACATAATGCGGTGGAGCACCATCTCTAGAAAAATAAATATTGTTCCGAGTATCTTTCATCGTTCTCAACAATGTCAATTAAGGTAGAGTACACCAAGTTTTCCAATATTTTAAGTTACCGTTCTCTTGTCAAACTGCCGTCTATAACGATTGATCCAATGATGCGATCTCCAAAAATACCTGCGAAACATTGAGTTTTTGTGGAATTTGAATGTGTGCTTCATGAAAAACATAAGAGTTTTTGTCTGACCAGTATCAACAATTATGATGATTCACAGTAGCATTTAATAAGAAAAAACTTTCGTCACTAAAACAAATATTAAGAAGAAATTGCCTGTTGTCAATTATTTTTTGAGAAATATTTTCGCAAAATTGCAGGCGCCCGGACATAATCTCCTTCATTCAATTCATGAATTAAGTTTACTTTATAAGGATGGAATTTGAAGTTTTGCAGAATTCGTTGAATAGTTGTTTTAGGAACATTAGTAACTGCAGCTATTTTTCTTTTACTTACAGATGAATCTGCACTAACTTGCCCTATTACTTTCATTTAGCAATGGTAGAATCCAGGTTCATCGTAAGTTTTATAATGTAAATAAAAATCTTAAATACAATAAAATGTTTGATTTTATTTATATATCGGTGTAGTCACTCGTGAGTGACGTCATTTGACATACGTAACGTGTCTTTTCTAATAATAATGTTTTTAGTCCACGGAAATACGACTAAATCTGTGATTATTACGTTTTCCTCATAGTTTATATTTTCCACACATTCTTTTTTCTTAAAAGATAGTTTACGTTTCTCTCTCTTTTTTCGTATACTCCTTTAGAGGTGCCTGAAGAGGGAAACTGTCGGTTTCCGAAACAATTTGTAGCACCGATATATAAATAAAATCAAACATTTTCATTGTATTTAAGATTTTTATTTACATTATTCTATTACTTCTAGGTTTGTGAGTTCATTGATCACAGAAAATTTACGTTCAGGAAGCTTCAGTTTTTCGGAACTTATGTACCAAGTCTAGAATGTACTTATGACGAACACGCCTATTAGGATGTAGGTTATGGAATAAACGTGCTGTTTCATAAACATTTTCATGATTAAAAGAAAAGGGCTCTCAATTTCAACTCTTTCGGCAATTGTATACACCATAATTAATGTAAAAATCTATTCTAATTAAACAACAAAAATCGAAACGTTCTTTGTTCAGGCGTGATAACAGTGCAATGCAAAATCCGCAAAGGCATGATTTGGAGCACCGTATTGTAAATAAATTTTTATTACCTACCTTTTTATTACTTTCTCAATGAATAACATGTTTCTTTTTTAACTTTCTTATCAGAAATACTTTTTATGTTTAGTTAATATTGAGAGGTGGTGTATCTTTAATGCCGAATATTTCGAAAATAAATCGTTCTAACAAATTTTTTCTGATGTCTCAGTAAAAACAAAACTTATAATATGATGTATCGCTTGACCAAACTTCCCATTTGAAAAAATTTGGGGATGACACCCCCGTTGAGGAGGGTAAAGTTTGGGGTACAATTTTTGCGTCAAAAGTTGTCCCCCTCAGAAACAAACTTGACGTGTTTCAGGTTTTTTTCGATAAAATTTTCCCTGGCAGTTATACTCTTCGTTTTCAATGGGCCAGCCTGTATACATATATACAGTGATATAGTAAAGTAGCGAATGTAGGCGATAAAATCATTATGAACTGTTTATGGAAAAATCCCTGAAACGGGTCTAATGATTTAAATTTTGTACAATTTGTTACCAATTTGTTAACCAATATTAATATTGNACGCCCCCTAGCGGTCGAATTACGAACTTCAAAATAATTTCCAGCTATTTCTCTTGCCCACTTTGCTTATAAGGATTTTTTTCCCAAACCTCTAGGCCTTACCGTTATTGAGATACAGCCGCTCCGTACGCTTAACGGGACATCCTGTATACACCATAATTAATGTAAAAATCTATTCTAATTAAACAACAAAAATCGAAACGTTCTTTGTTCAGGCGTGATAACAATGCAATGCAAAACCCGCAGACGCATGATTTGGAGTACCGTATTGTAAATAAATTTTTATTACCTACATTTTTATTACTTTCTCAATGAATAACATGTTTCTTTTTTAACTTTCTTATCAGAAATACTTTTTATGTTTAGTGAATATTGAGAGGTGGTGTATTTTTAATGCCGAATATTTCGAAAATAAATTGTTCTAACAAATTTTTACTGATGTCTCAGTAAAAACAAAACTTATAATATGATGTATCGCTTGACCAAACTTCCCATTTGAAAAAATTTGAGGATGACACCCCCGTTGAGGAGGGTAAAGTTTGGGGTACAATTTTTGCGTCAAAAGTTGTCCCCCTGAGAAACAAACTTGACGTGTTTCAGGTTTTTTTCGATAAAATTTTCCGTGGCAGTTATGCTCTTCGTTTTCAATGGGCCACCCTATATACATATATACAGTGATATAGGAAAGTAGCGGATGTAGGCGATAAAAACATTATGAACTGTTTATGGAAAAATCCCTGAAACGGATCTAATGATTTAAAATTTTGTACAATTTGTTGGTGTAGTTTTTAAATTTTTTCCGTCATTTTTAAATAAGTTATGAATGATTTATTTTTATTACGGAATATGAAAGGGGATTATTTTCTGAATCATGTACAGTCAATATTAATATCGGGTACAAAAGAAAATTTGGGAGAAACATTACTTTAAAGTTTAACTACTTCCAATTTGTTTACATGATACAAATGACAGTAGTCATGAGTAACTATGAGTAATTATTTTAAACAATTGTCTAAGTGTCAGAAACTGATTTAGTAAAGCTTATTGAAGTGTGGTGGCGCGCCATCTTGTTGGAATAACTGCCGTTGGAAGAATTGAGTTGGTCAAAAAATGATCAAAAATGATCAAAAAATCTAAACATCTTTGTCCAGTTAAGGTTTCCTCAAAAAAGTAAGGACCCAGGATAGTATCCCGTACTATTTCGCTCTACACATTGATTTATTACGGATAATGGGTATGCGACTTTCTGGGCCAATGTGGATTTTGGGTAGCCCAATACCAACAATTTTGTCTACTTACTTGTCCACTCAATGTAAATGTTCCCTCTTTAGAAAAAATTATGTTTTTGACAAAGCCTTCGTCATCGTTGCAAAATTGTTGTTGCAAAAACTACGATTCATTGCTCGTGAATGGGTGGTAAATACAGGAATGATATATTGCTGTTTTTAAAATTTTGTGAATCATTGATTTGCTAATGTGCAAATTTGACCCAATACCTCTTACAGTAACATGAGAGTTTTCTTGTCCAGCCAAAACCTCGTTTTGATGAACCGCCTCTGAAACATTTGGTGGGCCAGACTTCGAGAAATCTCGTAGTAAATCTCGTTTTAACACTTCGGAAACTGTTTAAAATAATTGGTTACCATAGTTACTCATGGCCACTGATATTTTTATCATGTCAATAAATTTGAAGTAGTTAAACTTTAAAGTAATCTCGCAAATTTTCTTATGTAATCAATATTAATATTGTCTGCACTAGATTCCATTGGTACCATTTCCACCATTGAATCAAATTCAAACTTTCTCTTCAAAATCAACGATTTTAATTAAACGATTTAGCATAGTATTGTTTTCAATAATAGTACTGTTTATGTGTCCGTTGCAGTTTGTGTGGCGATGACAATTTAAATTGTTCAATGATTCACGAGCTCACAACGATTTTCTTTTTACATGCCGATTGTTCAAAAACGTACTGATTGCTTCATTAAACTGTTCTTTAGATACAAATTCGTATTTTTATAATAAAGTGAGGTAAAGGGCAGTGGTAACAAGCAAAACATTTCTGACTTGTTTGTTTCATATTTTCACTAAAATAGTTAAGGGATTTGAAGGGACTTACTTTTTTCAGGGAAATTATCTATCCATTTCAAATTCCTATTTTCATCATTTCCCTTTTACATACACATTCTGACTGAATTCAGTTTACGTTGAGTCGCTGTACTGGTTGGTTCAAAATGAATGCTAATGAAATGATTTGTGTATGTATATTACGCTCTGGAACATGTGCAAAACACTTTTTAAACCACTGTTGAAAAATAATTGTAGTTACCTATCTTTTCCTGTCTCTTTGGTAACTCGGCGTCGATCCAACTATCGCAACTAACGCAAACTGATCAGATCCCTAACTTTGAGAACTTTGTTCGTTTAAGTCAATTATTGTATTCCCAAAGACGAAACAGTTTACGTTGTACACCTTTACACATGTTCTTATTTATTGCATTATACATGTTTTGACAATTTTGGCAAGCAACTTCTATAAAAGCTATTTAAACTCCTTACTTTTAAAGATTTTTTATTTGACCTAGAACATTTAGCACATTTTTATCTCAACTTCACACATTTGTTGAAACTGTAAAACTTTAATTTCGATTGTAAATATAAATAGTAATTGGTTTGAATTAAAGGAATATAATTAAATTACTTTAAATACAGAAATACAGAATGGAAGGTTTTAAATTAGAAATCACTTGTTAACATAAATGGCCATAATTCCTTTTCTTTTCATGGTCATTGTTAGAAGAGTTATGGATCTTCGTTTTCATCTTCGACACTTCGAAATATATCGCAAATTCCACCAAAACACCTCGACCAACAATTTCTAAGGTTAAATAAGTTTTTATTGGTTCAGATAGAAACTAATTACACAATTCTTACAGTTTATTTCTGCTATCCCCATCTTCATCATCTATACTAAAATATTTTAAGATATTTATGAATAAGACTAATTGCTGTATTGTTTTAAAATAACTAAATTACATTTCATCTCCGTGTTTTACTTTCATAAATTTACTACAATAACAAAGACTAAAGACATTATAAAAAATGCAGGAGTTATTATACTCACTGAAGATCAATCACACGTGGAAGATCGCTGTAATAGAAACATGATTTAGTTTAGTTGTGAAAATTCTGATAATTTCTTATATGATACCACAATTCTTAAAATTGTCTAAAATGTTATGTAATCAAAATCGAATAAAATATTTGAGTAAAATATTAATTGTAGTGTAAAATAAGAAGATTATTTGGTTATGATAATACGAAAAGTTGTATCCTTACTCAAAAATACTCATAGAATCCAGCGATTCAGTAATTTTTAAGGCTATCAGCGTATCTGATCTAGAAGCATTAAACAAGTAATTTATTTCTTATTAATATTTTGTACTTACGCAACATCGTAAATTTCTTTTAGTTCATTATCAACAACTAAATATCTAACTTGTTTATTAGTTGTTCGATTAATATTTCCAGTGGAATACTTCCTATGTTGGCAAAAAATTACTTATGACATCTTACATCAGCTGATTTACTTACTTAACTGGTATGTTCAAATTTTTATTCTTATTCTTTTTGAACCGATTGGAAAATTCACGAAATTTTGTGGGAATTGTCTTTAAAGGAGGCATTTTTCTGTTTGCATTTTGAATTACTTTCTAAATTTTGATGTTAAATGTTTTTAAAGAGGCTTATTATTAAGGCTTTTATCTCATTTTCTAATCATCTGACTTTTAGACCAAACTTTTCAATATATAAATTTTCTTGAACTCACTGTCAGTAACATTGACATTTCACCGATTTCATATATATACATCTATCCGTCGATTTACAAGGTTATAAATTGATGGTGGAAGTTTTTACATTGAAAAAGAAAATCAAAAATTATACAATGATGTATAATTACGTTGTTCCAATTAAAATTTTTTAAGGTACATAATTTTAAACAAAAATATTCAAAGGCAAAAATATGTATTTATTTATTAATTAAATGCAAAGGATCAAAAAATAAAACTTTAAACTATGTAATGAGTGTCTTTATTTTAATCTTTCAAACCAATCATGGTTATGCTGTTAAAGTTTGCTTCTTGAAGCAAACTTGAAAGAGGATAAAGAGCAGTTCTTTAATTTTTTAACTTTTTCATAAATCCGCCAAGTTTTATTTGTAATAGAAGTGGCATCAATTGGCATCAGTATTTGAGTTTGGTACGCTATCTAAATTATTTGTAATCATTTGTTACTTACGAATATGAAATCTTTCAATATTCTGGTTAAAAATGATATGCAATGAGTGCATCTTCGTGCATATGGGAAAATCCTCTATATCACTGATAACGCATATAACGTTATGAATAAACTGATGTACAGTTTTTCTTGTCTGCTTACCACAATCGTGCAGAGTGAGATATCTGTGCGAGGCTGAATCTTCAGCCAGTGAAGACGGTCATCCTCCACCGCTTAGCCAGCTCAGTAGGAACTAAGTAATGCTTCCATCGTGGTAAGGCCTTTACTAATGGTTGGTCAAAGAATGTTTCCCCTACAATTAAACAGACAGAGGATTGAGCGCAAGTTCCTTATTGCAAAATTTTCTTTATTGCAACCCTATAAGCCACCACTTCTAAATGTAGGGCTGTCGCCTACACTTCGCAATAATCAAATACAATACCAGCAGCTAACCAGTTCCAATCATCCATGTCCCATTCATCAGCAATCCTAACCAGCTCATCCTTCCTTTCTCTTCCTCTTCCTCCTTACCTTCTCCCTATTCTCCGCTCTTCTGCTATCCATATACTTTTGCAGAATATGCTGCAAGGAGTCCTTGCCCACTCCACACAGACACTTCTCTTGTCCGATTTTATCCATCTCCTTTTCGATGCTTAACTGATATCCCTCACAACCTCCCTTCTATACACGTACTTCTGTAGACATTGTCCGTTCTCTTCATCCTTTCTCCCCACGTGTTCTTCCAAACAAACCACTATTTTGTTGTCGTTGACCACAACATGTCGGTGCCTATCATCACCTCTTCTCTTTACCCATTCCATTAATAATTCTATTGATACCAGCTCATCTTGCGTTACTGGCTCACTACAGGTACTACAGGATCCTTACTCTATGTTCACATCACATATTTTCAACCGACATTACTAATATTGCTGTAAAATCACTTTCCTTCCCATTTGTCTCATCCGTATACACTTCCACAACATCCTTTGCCTTCTCCATCTCCACATCGCATCCACCTCGTTGTAACACCATTCAGTCCCTACGCAGCTTCTCTCCCATTCTCCTTCGTTTAACTTCAGTCACTTCCCATACATGGCTCCGGTGACCAGATATGATACAACCCCACACTTCGGCTCCACACAATAGCGTAGGTATCACCATTCTCTCTACAATTATCCCTTTCATTCTACCACTCGACCTCCAATCCTTGCTTGCGATCATAACCATGCTCCCCAAGACCCGTCTATCTTACCTCTCACAAATCTCAAATGCTCTGCGACCAAAAGACCTGAACCCGTAATGAGCATCGGCTCCCTCACTTTCTTCAGACCACAAAACAACCCTTTCAACTTCTCTCTAGAATAACATACCCAAGAGTCCTCTATTCATTGCTAACCTTTCACACTTTCTCCCATTTTGTGTTACTAGTATAGAACTGTAGTTCCAATGTAAAAAGATAGGGAAAGTGACTAACTTAAATTTGGGGGAAAAAGAATTAGGTTGGTATTTGAAAAGTAACTAGAATCTGGTTTAAACGTGTATTGAACGGTTTTTCGCTAAATCTACTTATACTTTTATAGCGATGATATTTTCTATAGGCGTGAAGAGCTGTGCGTATGGGCTATTTATTACAAGATCTTATATGGGGGCGTATACAGCGAGTATATAATGAAATATAACCATTTTATAGCTATGAATAATTTTTTTAATGGTGAACGGGGTTTAAGTTTTTACTATATAAAAGAAAACTTAACCATGCCGTAATAAAAATAGACGAATTTGTTGACTTCATGGAGAATATCAATAATTGGTGTATTTTTTGTTGAAGGAAATGAAATTCTAGTTTATTGGATACCAATCAATGTGGTATCCTCCATGAAATTTTGGAACAATATTTGTAGTATTTATAAAAATACTTTAAAAATTAGTGGTATTATCAATATGAATTTAATAAAAAAACTTTTATTTCGTTGCTTACTCGATTCATGTATATCACTAACCTTATTTTATGATAGTGTAAATATATTTAGTCCTAATTTAAACATAACACTTACTTTGTTTATGATAGCGTAAAATCTATTTATAATAAATTTGTAAGTTATTTTGATATTAAAAGGCGAATGAAATAAAAAGACAAAAAAACGTTTTATTCATTTATTCCAAGGGAATAACTAAAAATTGAATTATTTATGTTTGATATTTATAGGTATAAATTACTTATATGCAGCGTCAACACCCTCAGCATCTTGAACTATTTTTTAAAAATTCCCCCCTCAGGGACGTTGATTTCAGCAATATCTGTTATTAATATGGACGTCTGTAAATCGAAAAGACTGGTGTATATTATTAGTCACTACAATTCGGAAAAAAAAGATCGTTAAAACATTACTTACATTTACTTAAAATATTACTTACGGGAGTTACCAGACCGGCTTAAGGAGGCGAGAAGCGGTATCAACCTATCGAACATCTTCCACTCCTCCAAAATAGACATACACATGGCTGACATGGAGATGTGCAAAGGGTCCGCTGGGGCCTAAGTGCTTTTGTTATACCAATTAATTCATTTCTTTGTTCTTACCCTGTTTGTACCTATAATCCCTTCTTTAACTTTTGCAACTTTGTGGTCTTACAATTTTACCAATGAAAAAGCTTTTATAATGAAATTCTCAGAAATGCATTTCAAATCCGTATGCATAAACGTATGTAAGCAAAATTTGAAACAAAGGAGAAGTGTAACATGATATTTATCTGCTGCAAAAATTACGAAGTTAGAATAACAGGAAATATTCACATTTCAAATTATTATTTATTCTTAATCAAGTAAACGTTCAATTAATACAAAATGGAATTCAAAAATAAATGGTGGATTACAACATACCACTTTAAAAATTAGTGGTATTATCAATATGAATTTAATAAAAAAACTTTTATTTCGTTATATACTCGATTCATGTTTATTTTATGATAGTGTAAATATATTTTGTTCTATTTAGTTCGATAGCCTAAAATCTATTTATAATAATAATTGTAATAGGTTATATCCATTTTCACCAATTAGAAGAAATGCAGAAAACTTACAAAGCTAAAGAATGAACAACATAAAAAAGTAAAAATTGAAAACCAGACAAGATTAAGTTCATTTTAGTTAATTATTTAAGAATTTTCTGATTACTAATATCTTAATGTGAATGTTATGTATATTTTACAAAGTTTTTAATATTGACGTAACTTTAATTTCAAGTTTATTATATACATTATTTTGATACTATTTTAATTTTAATTTTCATCTACTGTTATCATCTTAAGATTTTTGTACGTTTTAGGGTCTTTTCTACTGATGAAGGGCAGGGCCCGAAACCAGGTCTAGACGTAAAATTAATAAAATATCACCAAAGTATCATTACATAATTTTTTCCTTACAAACTATTTATAATAGGTTTGTAAGTTATTTTGATATTAAAGGGTGAATGAAATAAAAAGACAAAAAACGTTTTATTCATTTATTAAAAGTTGAATTAATTATGTTTGATAATAATATTGGTATAAATTACTTATAAACAGCGTAAACATCAACCCCCTCAACCCCTTGAACTATTTTTAAACCCCCCCCCCTCATATCATCACCCACCCTCATGGAGGTTGATGTTGATTTCAGCAATATCTGTTATTAATATGGATGTTATAAGTCACTACAATTCGCAAAGAATAAAAATCGTTAAAATAAATCAATCGTAAAATTTCACTTGGAAGCGGTTCCATTTTTTTAAAATCTATCTTATAATACATTTCTACTTTCTATATATTAGTTGACGTTTTTCTCAGGGCCTGACAGCTCTACAACAAAACCAACAACAGTAATCTAAATTACAAAATCAAAGAAAACTTACAGTCTTATATAAAGCAATGTAAGCAAAATAAAAAAAACAGAAGAGTCCACATCAGAAAACAAAAATCAAGTGCGACTAACCAACGCAAACCAACAACTGCCAACAAGAACAAGGCCAACAACTTACAAATATGTGGTGTTCTCAAACTAAGCGCTTGCGTAAAACAACAGCTGTATTCTAAATCAGCAATTTACACTAGACATTAGTAATGCGCGAAACAAAATCAAATCAGAAATTAAACAGTTAATTATTGAAAGTAAATAAAGCTAATATTTCGATTCCACTGAATTAAGTAAAATAATTAGTTCTTTTTTTGTTGTAATCAAATAAATACATAACTCAAAAATTAAGGAATAAATATTGCTTAGACACTGGATGTCAGCTCTGAAGTTGACCGTTCTTTCTTGGGTAGTTATATGATACATTTCCAAAAATAACCTGCGTTGGTAGTTCATTTCTTTGTCCACAATTTTCACGTTGTTCAAATTAAAAAATGTGACTCGTGTCAATCGAATGTTGAGACAAAGCACAACATCTCGTGCCCGTTCTGATATCACTCCTGTATTTACCTAAACGTTTCTACAGCTATTGGTTCGTTTGTCCTACGTAGCATCCACCACAGCCAGTACATGGTACACAATATACAACACCTGATCGGTAGTCGTTATCTATTTTGTCCTTTAATGTAGAGAAACGAGATTGTAGTTTGAAAGGATAATGTTCAATTATACTGACTTCCATAAAAATTGCAACACCTAGAATTTATTGAACGAGTTAACATTTAAGTTAACATCCCTATCAAAAGAGACGTTAAAAATCAGTTTGTTCAATAATCTATCCAGAAAATTGTGTTTTAAAAAACAATTTTTAATTTATTTAAGTTTGCTTGTAAAAAAGACGGATGTGAAATATTAAGAATTCTGTGTTTCATGGCTAAAACAGTATTCATTTTATGTCTGATCTTAAAAATGTAGGTTTAGTATATCCATAGTATATCAATTAAATATAACCACATTTTCACCACTTCTAATAACTGTAGTGTCCAAAAACGCCGCAAATCCGTCATTTTGCGTTTCATGGAAATGAAATCCGCCATGGTGAACTGTATATTTTTATGGAACGAATTGAACAATTCTAGGACACCATCCACAGAATCACCAGGCAAAACCAAGGATAATGTCATCCACATACTTCCTCACAAATGGGACTTCAAAATCCAATCTAGCCAAAATGTCATCCAAAACGTAATCCATGTCAATTTGAGCGAGTATGGACGAGATTGGTAAACCCATAGGTGTACCAAAAATCTGTTTGTACGTAATATTATTGAAGCTGAAATAAGTACTGTCAATAACAGTTACCAACAAAATCAAAAGTTTCAGTTCTTTACATTGTAGTTTAATTCATATGCCATAGTAAGTATCCCGGACAACATTCTAGAAATCCTATTTATTGCTGTGTTAACCGAAGAAATTATAGGACGAAGTGGTGTATCAGGTTTGTGTATTTTTGGGAGGAAATAAGCTCTTGAAATGATCGGTCAACTTCAGAACTGACATCCAGTTATAATAAGTAATATCTAAGTAATATTTACTCCTAAGTAATATTTACTCCTTAATTTTTGAGTTATGTATTTATTTGATTACAATAAAAAAAAAGAACTAATTATTTTACTTAATTGAATGGAATTGAGTGAGTAGAAATGTAAGTTTTATCTTTGTTTGTAGAGAATATACTCTATAAACAATGGTTTTATTTACTTTCAATAATTAACTGTTTAATTTTAACTGGTAAATTTTTGATTAGATGTTGTTTCGCGCGTTGCTAATGTTTAGTGTTATTGGTTATATAGAATACGGTTGTTCTTTTATGCAAGCGCTTAGTTTGAGAATGCCACATACTTGTCAGTTGTTGGTTTTTGTTGGCACAATTGGCACTCCTCGCATTCCATTTGACTCTATTACTACTGTTCTGTGGTCGCACTTGATTTTTATTTTCTGATGTGGACGGGATTTCTGTTTTGTTTTTTCGTTCACTTATACAGGGTGAGTCAGAAAGAATGGGAAATCCGAATAAAGGAGACACTAGCCACCAAAATATGACGATTTAACCTAACATCTCTTATACAAATGTCAGTGGTTTTCAAGGTACAGGGTGTTGAAAGTAAAAAGTACGTATATAAGTAAAAAGTTGTAAAAAGTGGGCATAATGGATTTTCTGCAACTCGAACCAGGATCTCTTCTTCTGCGTTGAAGCTAATTCTTTTTTTGTGGAGCAGCAGCTCGAAATGCTGCTAAACTATTAAAATTAGTTTGAGCAAAACAACAAATCGTATCCCGCTTATCATATATTATACAACAAGACGATCGAAAATACTCGATAATAGGAGACGTATTGCCTGAAACACCACGAGACCGAAGGTCGAGTGGTGTTTTTTAAGGCAATACGTCGAGATTCGAGTATTTTCGATTGTCGTGTTGTATATGGCTAGACTATTTCATGAATAAAAAATATACATATTTTTAGAATTTTTTTATTTTTTAATAAATTACATTGATTGTTATGGAAACATGCATGGATGTCTCGAAATTAATTAAATGTCAAACAAGCGATAATACAAAGGTTCGTATTACAGCGATAATACAAAGGTTCGTATTATCGTTCTCCATGGTTACGGCCAAATAACCGCTGAAATACTCGCAATTGACGGAAAACCGCGAATTCTTATTGGCTGTTAACGATATGAATGAAATAGTCACTATTAGAATACTCATTATGTTGTGGCATTTTCAAATTGGTAATAATTTTATTGTTGGTAAAAATGATTATTGCACATGGAAATTAGATCAATGTTGACAACTAACAAGCAATTGTCGAAACGTGAGCGGAAAAATAAGCCAACTTTGCTTATGTTAAAAAATAAAAATTTTAGAAGCAAAAATACATTTAACCGTCTAAAAGTAAATAATTCGAAAACCGATAGACTTAGACAATTTAAATGAGAGTACTTTTTATGTAAAATTGTGTGCTCTTTGTGATTCGTAGCTCTTATTGGTCGTAGCTCGACGTCCAAAAAACTTATGATTTGATTTATCAAACGAGCAGTGTGTATCTAGCGCCCTCTACGAGCAATAACAAAACAAGTTGCAAATTTGTATTTCTCATGCTCGACAACATAAAACTACCAAATTTTATGTTAATAGTACAAAAAGCTTCAAAATTATCAAGAAATTCGAAATAAGAATTTAACTTTCAACACCCTGTGCCTCAAAAACCACTGACATTTGTACAACAGATGTTAGATTAAATCATCATATTTTGGTGCCTAGTATCTCCGGATTTCCCATTCTTTCTGACTCACCCTGTATAAGTTTGTTTGTAAGTTTTCTTTGAATTTTTAATTTAGATTACTGTTGTTGGTTTTGTTGTAGAGCCGTCAGGCAGGCCCTGACAAAAACTTCAACTAGCATATACACCGAGAGAAATAGATTGTACGAATCGTATTATAAAGAAAATATTATACATGCAACAATTCATTGTATTATATTCATTATATTTTTTGTACTGAATACAATCTCTCGTCTCGCTGTCACTATTCGTAGTAAACGTATTATACCTTATAGTATATTTTTAGTGCATAGTAGACATGCATTTTAAGTTAGTTTTTAAAAAAGAAAAAGAACCGCTTCAAAGCGAAATTTTACGGTTGATTTTGAAGGGTTGATTTTTACGCTGCTTATAAGTAATTTCTACAAACATTATTATTAAACATAATTAATACAATTTTTAATAAATGAATAAAACATTTTTGTCTTCTTATTTCATTCACCCTTTAATATCAAAATAACTTACAAATTTATTATGAATAGATTTTAGGCTATCATAAACAAAGTGAGTATTATATTTAAATTAGAACTAAATATATTTACACTATCATAAAATAAAGTTAGTGATATACATGAATCGAGTATTCATATTGATAATACCAGTAATTTTTAAAGTGTTATCTTGTAATCCACCATTTATTTTTGAATTCCATTTTGTATTGATTTAACGTTTACTTGATTGAGAATAAAAATATTTTAAAATGTGAATATTTCCTATTATTCTAACTTCGTAAGTTTTGCAACAAATAAATATCATGTTACACTTCTCCTTTGTTTCAAATTTTGCTTACGTTTATGCATACGGACCTGAAATGCATTTCTGAGAATTTCATTATAAAAGCTTTTTCTTTGTTCAAATTGTCAGACCACAAAGTTGCAAAATATAAAGAAGGAATTAGGTACGAACAAAAAAATTAATAAATTGTTTTAATTTTTGTTAATTGTCAACAGTCGAATTATTAATTGCTTATCATCGAATTGTAAATTATTTAACCGCTGTATTGTGCCACAAAATTTCGGTTCAAATAAAATTAAAGTTAAAGAAAAACTTGTTTAATTGCCGAAAGGTGACACCGAAAACCCTCAACAGTTATAATAACAAAAATTGATCGGTATTCTATAAACTAAAATTTGATTTCCTTAAACAAAAACTACAGCAATTGTTGATATTCTCCATGAAATGAAGGAATTCGTGTATTTTTATTATGGTATGGTTAATTTTTCTTTTATATGCTAATAACCTAAACCCCCGTTCGTCATTAAAAAAGTCATTCATAGTTATATAAAGGTTAATCAGAGCGGGCACGAGATGTTGAGCCAACATCTCGTGCCCGTTCAACATTCGATTGACACGGGTCACATTTTTGAATTTATTTTAGTTTTTCTTATGTTAGTATTATTATTGTTTTTTCTTTATTTCTTTTATGAAATAAAAAGCGTTCCGAATCCACACCTCATCATATCCCTCAATTAATAATTCATCTCTGAAATTTATTATTATTACCGTAAATTTATCAATCAATTTATATGTAGTTACATATAGTAGTTCCCTAATTTCTTAGTGGATTACAAATGAAATTATGGCTTAATCGTTGATTGAAATAATGTATTTCAACGCATACCAGTTAGGTTTGTATCATGCGAGTGTGTGATGAGTTCCTGCCAATTGTAGTGATACCATGAATCCTATAAATACAAGAGTAAATTCCATGGAATTAGTCCTTGAAATCTTAAAACTTTTATTTTCTGTTTAAAGCCGTGTGAATTACATCATCCTTCTAGAAACTTCTATTGCACATTTCCCCACTCCCCATAATTTTTCAAGCATATAATTACTTGTTCTTAATAAATCATTTAGTTTGTCCGCTATTTAACAGCTAGTAGGTTACGCTTATTATTATTAATTAATAACCTATGCAACATATTTAAGTTTGTTTTCCTATGAAATAGATGAGATATTTTCTGATGTGGACGGGATTTCTCTTTTGTTTTTTCGTTGACTTATATAAGACAGTAAGTTTTCTTTGTTTTGTAATTTAGATTATTGTTGTTGGTTTTGTTATAGAGCCGTCAGGCCCTGAGAAAAACTTAAACTAATATATATAAAGCTGAAATGCATTATAAGTTAGTTTTTAAAAAAGAAAAAGAACCGCTTCCAAGTGAAATTTTACCGTTAATTTATGTACTATGCACATCGATTGAGGAAAATGTAAGTAATGTTTTAATAATCTTTATTCTTTCGAATTATAGTTACTAATAATAACACATCAATCTTTTCGATTTACAGCCGGCCATATTAATAACAGATATTGCTGAAATCAACAACAGCAACCTCCATGAAATCGTTCAAGGGGCTGAGGGGTTGATTCTTATGCTGCTTATAAGTAATTTATAGCTATGAATATTAATCATAATTAATTCAATTTCTAGTTATTCCCTTGGAATAAATGAATAAAAAGGTTTTTGTCTTTGCATTTCATTCATCCTTTAATATCAAAATAAGTAACAAATTTATTATAAATAGGTTTTAGGTTTTATAAACAAAGTGAGTGTTATATTTAAATTAGAATTAAATATATTAACATTATCATAAAATAAAGTTAATGATATAATATATGTACATGAATCATGAACAATACGAGTTTTAAATTTTTTTATCGGTGGCAGTGTTCATAATTCCTAAATAGACACATATATTAAATTATGATCCATTTCTTCATTAAACATATCCTTATCGCATCCGGAATTGCGCTCAAATCATGGTTTCTATGCGTCCCCAAAACGTTCAAGTTGCATTCCAACCAGCTTTATCAAAGATAATACCAACTCCCACGGTATTTTTATTGTTATTTTACTTAGTTTTTAATTTTTATGATCTGATACATCTCTGATAGGTTAGAAATGATTAAAGACAAACTTTTTAACCGACGACTACGTTTATTTGCATTTTCATGACACGACACATTTCATCACTACATTTTAGTCTAAACGAGAGATGTCACCACTAAAAACTATTATAATCACTTTAATATAAATAATTTATAATTAGGTAGATAACATAATTTGACAATGCCATCATTAATTTTGTCGCTCACAAAATAATAACGAGTAATGTCTTGTCCTATCATGATATATAGAATTTACACACATCTTTTTTGCACTCTGATTATCATTATTAATTTTGTACCACAATGTTGCTTCAAATCTTTATCTGCTATCTCATTGTACAAATTTCTAAGATATATTGATTCTTTTGTCCCATCTGAAATAGCCATGTACTCAGCTTCAGTACTACTCAAAGCAACTGTTTTTTATTTTCTACTTTGCCATGAAACAGTTCCATTTGCAAGGTTAAAAATAAACCCTGTATATGACTTTCTGTCTGTTATATTTGATGCCCAATCTGCATCAACAAAACCTACCAATTCAGAGTACCCTTTTTCATATTTTAATTTAATTCTTTTAGTTTCTTTTAGGTACTTTAAAATTTGTTTTGCAGCCTTCCAATGTATATTATTATAACAAGTCCCTATTAAATTTACTCAAATAACTTACACAATGCAATATAATAATAGTAGTAAAAATTAATCACTTTAATCACTCTAATTTTAATTCTTCTGTTTCATTTATATTATTAGAAAGTACAAAAGAATCATCAACATACAAAGCAATAATAGCACTAGTCTACAAAAAAAAATCATAAAATGTACATTTGACGCCACTGTATTTTTCCTATGTAGTTTGGTTCCCTAAACCCAAAAATTACATTTAAAATTTTTTCCATGGATACGTTTTGGAGCTATGATTTTTTTTTAATTTTTTTTATTTGATTTTTTTATTGATTTAGCTATGATTACTATTTGCAACATATCTCGAGTTAGATATGACCGATCTGGTCGTGCTATTCATCAAATTAAAGAGTATTGTATAGCCAATAAATGGTATTAATACTTTTTCCAATCGGTTCGGTAGTTTTAAAACAATGGTCCATAATATCTAAAAAACGGATTTTTTTAGACAAAATGTGAACCAAAAATTCATTCAATATCCGTGGAGAGCCGCAGAAAAATTCTTTTTTACCTTCTACGTAAAATTTTCTCTTTTAAGAAAACAACAAGGTACGCAGGATGAGAATCTATGGAGAAATTACCAAAAATTATGATCTTCTATATGTGAGAGCACAGCTTTTTCCTGTACATGAAATTCCGCGCAACTAGACCGTTAGAAATTTGTAGGTTTCATATTTCGTACGTTTGTGAGATTTTACGTGTGGGAGCTATTCATACTTAAATTTCTTCCCGGAGAATCATGGTGACGTAAGTGACGAACATGGCGAAAGGTTCCAACAACAAATGAAGAATATTGAGCGGCGTTATCAGGGAATTTGGGATGAAATAATGATGGGAGACTATATATCTGGTTCCTCATAAGAAAGACGGATTCTCAAAGAAACAGAAGGCAAAGCGGGGGGCAAAGTTATTTCTAAGGCTTGTGTATACTTTTTTATTAATACCTAAATGTTACAATCAAAATAAACTGAATGAGTCACTGTATTTCGTGCTTTTTGAGAAAAATTACAGAAATAGGAAATGCTGGATGTTGCCGCTTTGACTCACAAATGATCATAATTTCGATATTTCTCTATAGGCTTTGGTAGTAAATACTGTCTTCCTATTGTAAAAGTACAAACTGTATCTAAAAAAAAGACGGAATTTTTGCGGTTCTCTTTTTGCGAGTGAATTTTAGATAGTAATTTTTGATTAACCAGAAGTTTTTCAATTCAAATATCCAATAAAAATTGTAGCATTCCGTTTAAAATAACGAAGTTGTAGGCTACTTCCGGTACACTGGATGTGGCAGCCATCTTGAAATTATTTTAAATCGCAAGTGTGGGATGAATAGTTCCTACATGTAAAATCTCAGAAACGTACGAAACATGAAGCCTAAAAATTTCTAACGGTCTAGTTGCGCGGAATTTCATGTACAGGAAAAAGCTGTGCTCTCTCATTAGAAGAGGGTAATTTCTCCATAGATTCTCATCCTGCGTACTTTGTTGTCTTCTTAAAAGAGCAAACTTTACGTAGAAGGTAAATAAGAATTTTTCTGCGACTCTCCACGGATATTGAAAGAATTTTTGGTTCACATTTTGTCTAAAAAAATCTGTTTTTTACATATTATGGACCATTGTTTTAAAACTACCGAACCGATTGGAAAGAAGTATTAATAACATTTATTGGCTACTCTTTAATTTGATGTGCTATTCATCAAATTAAAGAGTCGACCAGATCGTGATTAATGTAGATCAGTATTGTTAAATACCCGGGTATTTATTTTCAAAGGTAAATTTCCTGGATATATACCCGGGGGTATTTACCCAAGATGGGTATTTAGAGGTACTTATAAAATTTAATTTAAATTCAGTTGTTGGCAGTTTTGCAAGCATTTCAAGAATGCAGAGTCGATTATCGATACACCAAACTTGTTTATAACATCTACAAGAATTCTACAATGACGGTAAAATTGCATAAAACTACTGAAGAGAGTGGAAGTAGAAAAGTACTGATTGTGAGTAAAACAAGTTTACACACAGTTGATCATAGTCCTGCATTTTAACAACCAGATTGGATCCAAAAAAGCATAAACATTGATGGCAAATACCTAAGTAATTTACGCTACGCCGACGATATAGTTCTTATTTTGGATAGCCTTGGAGAGATGAAACTAATGGTGAACGATTTGAAGGAGGTGTGTGCAAGAGTCGGGCTAAATATTAACGTAAAGAAATCAAAATTTATGACAAATCTTGTTTCCAAGTCTAACATCAACATTGGGGATAATGAGATTGAGAGGGATAACAGCTATGTGTATCTTGGCCATGAGGTTCGTGTATCGAGAAATAATCAAACAAGCGAACTAAACAGCCTACGGGAAACTTAGAGACATCTTCAAGAGCGATATTCCTATATATTTGAAAAGAAAGGCTTTCAATCAATTCGTGTTTCCCCTTATGACATACGGCTCCGAAACATTAACATCAACGGTAGCCACTGCCAGGAGGTTCAAAGTAACGCAAAGACCGAAATGAAGACCTATGAAGAAGAACTGGCGCAAATGATGTGGTCAACATTGTGGCAAAGCTCAACAATTGAATTCAGACAGCACAGAATAGAATCGAATGGAACATAGGGAAGGCCTATGTCCAACAATAGCTGGATGATAATAATCATAATAACTTGATCTAATCTAAATTACGACAGATTCGTCTGATGATAAACGTCCATTTCATCATCTTCCTCTTAATTTTTTCGGAATCTGATGTATTTTTACTTGTATCACTTTTATACGTACTGTTTGGGTATTTACCCTGGGCCGGGGTAAATACCCGGATAAATATCCATTTTATAAATACCTACCCGTCAGGTATTTACCCAGCGCCCATCACTGATATAGATACTCGAGATATGCTACAAATAGTCAACTTACCCCTAAAAAAAAATCATAGTTCCAAAACGTGTCCAGTAGAAAATATTTTAAATGTGATTTTTTGGTTTAGGAAACCAAACTACATAAGAAAAATATAGTGCGTCAAATGTACATTTTATGAATTTTTTTTGTAGGCTAGTGTAGTTAACCAGTTATTATCAAGTTTAATATATAAACAAGGTTTATACTTTGATCTTTTGTAACCTCTCTTAATTAGAACATCAATCTTTTTTTGTTGAAGCTTTAGAAGATTGCTTAAGACCGTAAACAGCCTTTCTAAGTTTACAAACCTTTTTATCATCCACTATAAAACCATCAGTTTGTCTCATATATACACTTTCTTGTAGCTCACCATTGAAGAAAGCTGTTTTATATCTAAATTGTAAGATTCATATCCAAATTTGTTGATAATGCCGTCAAGTAGAATGTCTCAGAATCGCTACAAAATTTTCTTCCTAATCAACACCAAACTTTTGTAAAAACCCATTAGTTGCGCACGATAATATAATTTACCCGCACTATCACGCTTTTTCTTAAACACCCATTTATAATCCACAATAGTATTCTTCTCTGGCACCTCAGTCAAATCCCAAGCCTGATTTTCTTTGAAAGAATCCATTTCATCCAGCATAACCTCCTTCCATTTTTTTGGACCATTCAAGGCTTCACTCACAGAAATCGGATTTTCATCAAAATCAGTTTCTTCCCTTTTATAGTAATATGTTACATAACCATCAAGAACTTTTGGTTTTGGTACTCTTTGAGATCGTCGTAATTCCCCTGCTGTCACATCATTTATTGCCTCAGGAACGTAGTCACTTTCATTCTCTAGCTCTTTATCTTCGTCATCAGAACCCCTTGAATCATCTATAATTCCATCATTATCGTTTGTATTCCCCACTGAATCTGTACTTTCAAAACTTCCTTCTTCTCTCCTTGGTTCAGTATTTTGAATAACCAAGTCTATTTTCTGCTTGAATTTTTCTACTATGGTTACGTCTCTACTCAGAGTAACAATGTCACTATCAGGATCATAAATACGATATCCCTTTCTGTTTTCCCCATACTCTCCAAAATCATCTTTTTTGCTTTTTTGTCTCATTTTGTTCTCCTATTTATTAGTTGGATCCCATTAAGGTAGTCTAGAGTCAACTATGGTTAAGTAAAGAGTTGTTGTGCTTATATCAAAGAAATGAATGAAAATAAATAAGTTTAACTGCAGTCTTCAAAACTCATTCAATAAATGTTTAATGCCGTTACAATTTTGGCAGCATGTTTGTATCGTTATCCTGTTGAATTATTCACTTTTCTGATAGATCTAATTTGACATCACTTGTGGTAATATTGCCCTTTAAAATTATTAAATAATCTCTCTGGTTCACTGTCGAGTTAATAAACACCAGATTACGACACCTGATGTCTATAAACAGGAAACACTTCTTATTGAACGCTTAATTTTTAGCTCGCCTTAATTTTAGGTAGTTTTCCTTTCCAAAACTTTCAAAGTTACTCTTATTAGTGAATAATAAGTTTTTCAAAAAATCTGAAGACTTTTAGTATTGTTTTGCAAACTGTTTTTATGTATCGCTCTTTTTATGGTACTCAACTTATCGATTTGCCTAATGATTGTCACATTTTGTTTGCTATTTGAATTGCACTTAACGACGGATTTGTCTTCTTTTCTCTCACTGCTGCTCTATTGTGGATGTATGCAAGCCGATTTAATTGTCCAACAAGTGGTAAATCCTCTAGTGGCTTTTCCCATGATTTATCTCGTTTTGTACATTTCAATATTGGTTTAGTTTCCGCGATGAGCTTTGGTATATTTAAGCAATTTCGAAAACATAATAATTGAAAACTATGAACACTAATGCTTATTACAAATTATATGTTGATAACAAATGACCCATAAAAAATGTATCGTGCGTAGAAGTGTATTTTGTTATTTGACTCCTCAAAACTTTTTATTATGTTAATATGTTTCGAATGTTAATAGGTATTAAAAATGTTACGATTTTTTAAAACTTTAACAAACATTTATTGTGTACATTTTAATCTTAATTTTCATAGTTATTACCGTAGCTACATATGTCAGGCTGATATTTCAAGACGTTTATTAGGTCATCTATATTTTAATTACTTACATAATAGATTGGATATGTTACATCATGAGATAAATTAAGCTAACTAACCTAAATAATGTTATTTTTGATATCTGGATCATTCCGATAAATTTAAAAAGAAAACAGAAAAACGGATAATTACTTAGATGAAACAAATTGCGGTAAATAAATAACGCAAAAACAATTTAATATTTTATTGCTCCATAAAACAAACAAAACGATAAACTAAATCAACAAATTAATTCGATTATTAATTAAATTCGATTGATTCCATTTAATATATAAACAAAACTTCTATATATTTGAAACAGTCTTTATGAATGATAACATTAAACGTAAAAGTACATACAAATAAAATATTTGAATAAGATAATATTACAAAGTATGATAAGAAAGAATCGACTAAAAAAAGCCTGTTAATTTATTTATCAATAAACTAATTTTTTGAAATCTTGTCTACATGAACGAATAATATAAAATAAGGTACATAATACTAACTGAACGCGTAACAGAGCTATGTATAGTTGATTATGGAAGCTCTGAGTTAACTTCCTTTGCTCAATTCTATGATAATTTCAGAGAGGCAACTGTAACTACCAGCCAAAAGACCTACGAGGCCGAAAATAATCAAAGCAACATTTTTCGTAAGATTTAAGCCACTGAGTTTATCTGAGTAATTAACGCATATTTCCATTATGGCTGGAAAAGCTATTCCTAAAGCTGAAAGGCAGAAAGAACCAAAGAGAGCAATGAATAAAGCTAGAAGAGGTATTGTTGCAGCGAGTACAACTAAAATCAAAAAGAATAAATTAATAATGAATTGATGAAATTGATCAAGTTGAAAATCTTACATGAAATAATCACAGCAATTATTCTTAAAACATATTCCCAAAGCAATTGGTGGCTGCTGTTTTCTAAATGTTTTACTATGTATGTGTCCCACATAATTTGAACTGGTACGTACCCTTGTAAACCATAAGAAATAAATATAGCGAGTGAATAAAGAAGTTTTACAGCTTTAGCAGGACTAAAAAAATAATTCATGTAATTAAGCATTTCTCTCGATTAAAAATTTCTTACATGTCTTCTTTTGGGAAATTAAGTGTTATAGAATCCGCTGAATTTTCTCCATATCTCCAATAACCAAGGAAACCCAAACCAACATACAAAAGTACGATAACAACCATTGACATATTAAGAACGCCACAATAACCGCCGAATGACTTTGGCGTTTTCATGTTGTTTTCAACAGCTATAACCTAAACGGATTAAATTACACAATTACATGTACTCATTATTATTATTAAATTACTTACCACACCAACAGCTTCTAGCGCAAAAAGCGTCGTTCCAAAAAATAATGGGAATTTATACAATGTACTAAATGTGGGTACATTGGAAATTGGAGGAAGATCCTCGAATATATAATATAGGACCACTCCAAAGGAAGCAAACGTGATGATATTGGCGAGGATTGAAAACGGTGCGAGAAGTTTAAGATTTCTTATCGAATTGATTAAAATGAACGGTATCAATAGGATGAGCATGTATATGTTCAGGCTAAGATCGGAGCCGGTTAGCTCATCACAGACGTCTTTTAAATTTTTTGCGACGAAAAGTACATATACGCAACATATACCTAGTTGGTAAAGAACCAAGAAGACGTCGACTAGATACCTATAAAGTAAAAGAAAATTATTGAGTTGATAGTCATAATTCTTCATATGCGGTTTTGGACACGAGCGGAAGGAAAGATGTTTTTAAAATAAATTTGGATACTAACTGTCTTTATACATTGTCAATAAGTAGTAAAAATATCTTACTTAGAAAAAGACACTTAATTTAGCAAACTTACTCTCTCAACAAAAATTCACCTCTAATTTATGTCACCTGCTGTAAAGTAGTCAGTAGTGTTTGTTATTCATTGTAATTAATATATTCATCATTATAACATTGGAATCATTAATTTTATCTCTTCGTAATTGCTACTGTATTTACAACAACCTTTTCATTATGTGACTTAAATAGTGTTCGTGAAAGTAATTCAGAGCAGTTTCGTTCTTCAGAAGACTTTAATAGGTTTTTTGAGATACCCAGAACATTTCTCCATCCAATACACTTCTATATTAGTATCGTATTCAGTCTTGCATAAGCCGTATTTAATCTTCCATTAGTAGGATTTAGTCCGTTACCAGCAGTATTTACTTTTTCGCCAACAGTATCCAGTCTTTTATTAGTAATACCTAGTCTTCTGAGAAAAGTAATTACACTGCCATCAGCAGCATCTAGTCTTCTGCTAACAGTATTTAGTCTTCTGTAAGGAGTGTTCTTTTGCAATCAGCATTTAGTCTTCCATAAAGTCCGCTGCTAGCACTATTTAGTTCTCCGCTAACAGTATCTACTTCTTTTATCTTCAACAAAAATCTTCTGCAAGAGTAGGGCGTATTTGTTATTTTGTGGACATATATGATACAAGAGTCATACATGCTGTGAAAACATGTATATAAGGTATAGACTCACACATAGTTCAGTTTTCTTGGGTAGAAAATTCGGTGCAGTATGTTCTTGAATGATGTATATGCGAAAAGGATTAATATATTAAATATTACTACTATATTCTAAATATTAGTCCTTTTTATATTTCACGTAACGTTTTTGTTGGTATTATGAGTTGATTTCAGTAGACAGTTGATTTTCTTCAGCTGTTATGCTCTTTTTCCTCCTAAATATTTCGCGGTATACATATGAGGATTTGTATATGTTATAGTTCCTAGAATCATCTTACTTAGAATCACCCTACTTTCCAGGCTTAATTGGCATATAAACTTTGAATTTACATCTCTCAAAGTAAAGAGGAGAGACCTAGTGTATAAACATGATAAATAGTCTAGAGATAGCGTCATGTACGTCTCAAATCTCTACTTCGGAGTTAGCAAATCTCAATAATGTAAGCAAAGCGTTGCGTCTTCTACTGTTTGTCTACGCACTTAGTACTTTGCAAAATACATAATATTGAGTATTTTGTTAATAAATATAAGATTCATAATAATATTATGACGTCGATTTCGAGACTTATTTTGAGATGATATGACCATGCTGCCTGCTTGGCATTTCTCCTGTGATTCATTGTGTGTTGCAGGCTTTCTGTTGCATCCCTTATATGTATAGAATCGTATCATTCATCCTCATTTTTGTAGCAGATAAGGCCGCGGATACATTGGTTAAGAATTCGTACGAAAATTTAATCGTACAAGTTCGTAAGAATTCATCAGAAACGAACAAATGCATTGTTGTCTTTAGAGGTGGTTACATTGGTTGCATACGTTTTTTGGCGCAGTTGATTAGTTGGTACAAGGAATAATATTATACAAGGAGAACTGCCAGGAAGGGATTGTAGAGAAATATCTAAAAGAAAAAAACGGGATTAGTGTGGAAACCCGAGATTAGAGCAAGTAGGAAATGTATGGAAATGTGGACAAATGATGAAGAAAAGAGAGAATATCATATACACAATATCGATAACGGACTGGAGGGAATATTTTATTAGGCTGATGGAGATAATGTGGTCATTATGAATGCGTTTAATACGGAAAACCAGATTTAATTTTGGAAGAAGATAAGAAAGAAATCACACAATTGTTATGAGAGAATTGACTTGAATCGCAGCTGTTTGCCATATACACTGCAGATATTGAACGACCATTGGAGGAAAAACAGTTGGGGGCGGTGTAGTTGTGACACGAGAAAGATATTCTGGATTACGCGGATGTCATAGGATTTGCAAGTCAATGTGGAAAAACAAAAGCAATGAAGTTCTGTAATGGAAAGACAAGATGAGAAGAAGTGGATATGGTTATAGGAAGAGATTGGAGAGGTAAGGAAGTATTATGTTAATATGTAATAAAATGACAAAAGGGACTAGTTTGGAGATGGAACAAAAAGTATTTGGGAGAGATGTTTGGAATAGGAATTTGGTGTTTGAATGTTTGAAAGACATGTTAATCAACAGCATGATTTCCTATACGACCCGTCTGCTGAAATAAACTTGGTTAAACATGCAAATTATAAAAAATTATCAACTGTAAGGAAAATTCTTAATGAGAAGTCTTCTTAAAAAGAATATTTGGCTGTGAAGTTAAATAACTATTTTTCGAATTTAATGTCTGTTATGTCATGCGCCACGTTGGTCCATTTTTAATTTTAGATTATATCAACGACATCTACGAGTGTTTCCACCACTCTAATTTTTTAATATACACGCACGTTTGTAAAATCTTCTTTGGGCTTGGATGCATATCCGACGTCTAGTACACCTAGTACGTCTGCCTTATTTCTAAGCTCTGAAGTATTATCAAATGATGTATAGTAAAAAGAGGTTGACTTTAATAATAGTCGTTATTCGTAGTTATTTTATACCATTCTGCCGTTATAGCATGTTTCATGGTGTCGTGTACATTGACGTGCCTCTTTTTCAGATGACGTTGCATTTCTCGTTACTTTATGAGGATTCAAGCTGGTTACTGTAGTGAAGAATGAAGTTTTTTATGGACATTGTATAGCACAAATTATCTTGTTAGATGAATGTGTGTTAAATTAGTTTAAAAATATTGATGCGCGATTATTTATTCATAATGCCATCAATAAACTCAATATTTTACCAAATTAAAATGTTCAGGTTCTACTTATTCAATAAGTGGTTGTGTCTTAATTTTCTTAAATGCTTGCAAATGCATTCAGCGTGTACTCTTTTCCCTTACTCAAATTTCAGAGTTTTTGCTAATATTACCTACTATTTTTAGTTCCTGCCTATCTTATTTTGCTGATTTACTTCTGTTGTTCGAATCAGTAATGACGCATACCCGCTATCAGTCTTATTTTCATTGAAGATGGAGGTAAAGATTTGCGAAATATTATATTCTATATTACATATTTCTATTTTCCATCATTTATTAACGATGGAATTACATCAAAATTAAAATACGATTAAGATACAATTAAATCAGTCCATATTCTAGTTTAAGTATGCAAGAACTTTATTACATATAGGTTTGCTTGTATTTGATTTTCCTAAACACTACTTGAATGGAATTCCTCTCGGTATGTATCCAGAATGACTACTAAAGCATAAAAAATCATAGGAACCAATCTATTAACTATTCGCATAATCTTATCGTAAAAGAAAGCGATATCATCAATTTCTAAATTATTTAATAAGGACTTCATCTCCCCCAATTGCTTTGTTCAGTAAGCCTCTTATTTTAGCCAAATAACATATAAATGACATAAATAAAATACATAAAAACACCTTTCATTTTTCATGTCCAAAACATATCTATATTTTTAAACGTTTATTATTATTTTAAAATATTACTTACGGCGAATATTTCGCAAAAGGCCGAAGGCACGGTGGACCGGTTTCTAAAGCTAACTTCATAGATTCAGGATATGTTAGCATTGGAACTTTAATTCGTTTGCAAAGAACATATTGAGCGTTAACCTAAAAATAAATTCATCTTAAAATGTAAAGTGTAAAATAAATTTAGACAAAATCATAATTGTTGATGATCCGTGAATCCTGAATAAGATAACCGTGGAAAATGAAATATTAATATATGTATGTGCAGCGCGACCCAATAAATTTGTTTGAGCTGAAAATTACTTTTGGGAAAATGATTTTTGGGAAAAAAATAAGTACTTGAGCTTTTGCCAAAACAAACACGTTTTGAATCTTAACAATTTGATGGATTTTGAGTGAGTCATACTTACCAGGACGTGTAGACAATATGTACATATGAATCCGATTATTATTGTAAATACAAAACCATTTATCAACCCCGAGTTTTTAAAGGCATAAGGCATAGCTAGAATACCAGTTCCTAAACTACCTTTTAAAAGATGGATCATGGTCTCCGTATTCCTAAGAAAAAATAATTTTATTACAATTTAAGTACATCCTTTTTAAAAAAACATCATAAATTTGTTCCACATTTTCGGACAATTTTGAAACAATTTTAATTTAAATTAGGAGATCAATTAAGAAGATACGGTTATAAATAGAAAAAGAACACTATCTTTAAATTCCATTTTTATCTCCTATTGTAACGTAGACTAGCCTGAAGTGGTGCCATGCAATTTGCAACCTTGACACCATTTTCCAAAAATAAATAAATCTCTACTTCGTCTTTCAGTTACTTACGTTGTTGGAGCGGGGGCGTTACGGTGCAAATGGGGATCGTAAAACTCATCTCCAGCCAACGCTGGACTCCCGGGTCCCGCTTCTTCATTGTACCTGAAAATAACAATAAAAGTTAGCATTTTAAATCACTTTTTTAATTAAATATTTTTTGAAAAGATTACGTTTTGTTTGTAAACAATTCGATTTGATTCTGTGAAAAAAGCTGCTGGGGTTCATTAAAAATCGAGCGAGCTTTACTCCTCTCAACGGGTAGTTACAAGTACTTGCGAGCTTGTAAAAGGGGAGAAGTCCCGGGATCAATAAAGCTCTCTAAAGCTTGGAATAAATTTTGCATTCGGTTCAGATACGATTTCAATAGAATAAAATTTTAAATTCTCCTTTTTATTTAAAACTAGACAATATTTTATAACTCTATTATGAGTAATATATTAGAAAAACAATAGCTTTTAGAACAGTAATCCGTGCATCGTTTGTTTTAATTTATGTGTCGCACATACCAGCCGTTCTCCTAAAGCTATGCAGACTGATAGTAAAATAAATAAATGTAGTAGGTGGCCAACATTTGAATTACGATGGTTTGCATAAGAGCCTGTTTAAAACACTTGCTTGGCAAGGTTTGGCTCTATCAAGACATCTGCATGTTTTTTAAATAAATATTTTAGCCTGCAGCTGTGTTTAGATACGTTAGATATGTTGTAGTGATGATGAGTGGGCGAGATTAACTAACTTTTTAGTTTGAAGAAAGTGGGTAAATGAGTTCCGAGATGACGATCCACCTAGGTTTCAGTCAATTTAATTCAATTCAACTCGTTTAATATTTTCGTTTCGCTCATTTTGATTTAGTTTATTTTTGGATTTATGCCAAAAAGTGAAATTAAGATGAAATGAAATCGCAGAAATTTTAATATGTATTATATGTTAAATTGCATAGTCTCCTCTTAAGCTTTAATAACTCAATTGGTCCAGCTGAAAGATTTTTAAAATTAGCTGAGTGTAAATTACAAAGTATTCATCTTAAAACAAATTCGTTCTAAATAATCTATCTTCATTATGCTTTCTTTCAAATTTACTAAAAACTCGTACCTGTTATTTTAAATATATACGGAATATGTGGAAATGGTCAGATGTGTCCATCGCACAAATTCTTTGGTTAGTATTTTAAGCCGACTCTGATCAGCAATCATACATTTTCACATTTTGTTTTGACATTTGGCAGAAGTAGTAGATGTAGTACTGGAAGATCTATGAAGTTCTAGGAATGCTAAGAAATTTATAAAAGATTGACTGAAATTGACAAGAATTGAAATTGCAAGAAAATATGTGATTTTTAAAGAAATTTTGTATATAATGCATAAAATTGATGGTGCCAGAGATCTTTTTAATTGATTGGCTACATTCTTTGATTTCCACACAATTTGATTTTACTTACTGTATATGTAATAGAAGGTTATCAAATCTTGAAGAGCGAGAAGTAATGACAGAAGACAACTGATAGGAATCTCAATGATAGATGGAATAAGTTCAGGGAAGCGATAATATGGGCAGCAACCAAAGAAAAATCAGTACAATAAAGATCGACAAAAACCAAAGACGAACTAAATGCTGGAATAGAATGGTAAGGGATAAGATAAAATAGAAAAAAGAAGCTTAGAATACAATCAGGAGAACAAGACCAGCCGCAGATCAAGGACTATGCCGATGAAGGAGGCCTACGAAAAATCTTCCTACTAGAGAAGATAATAAATAGAAACAAATCCAGGATGCTACATACCACAAAGGAAAAGGGAGGAAAAAACATAGATGTACGTAGATGGCAAGTACTAGAGCCTTTAAAAGTACGAATATTTGATAACCATGATTACCAAAAAAATGGTAAGGTTGATTAGGAGATACGCAACAAAATAGCAAAAGCAAGTTGAGTCTATACCAGATAAATAATACCCAGGTAGACAAGAAAAACACTCATATACACCTACTGGCCGGCATCTTGGACAATATTAGATAAACAAAATTCAAAAATAGGAGCAACAGAGTAAAGTATCTATGAAAAATCGTAGGATAAACCAGAAAACACAGAGTTCGAATGAGGAGCGCCAGTGAAAAATTGAACTCAATAGATGAGATGGAAAAGAAATAGCAGAATGGGGGTAACAGAAAGAATAAGAAAAATATATGAGATAATCAATGCACATAGAAAGCAACAAATTGTATAAATGAATCTTGGACAATATTAGATAAACAAAATTCAAAAATAGGAGCAGCAGAGTAAAGTATCTATGAAAAATCGTAGGATAAACCAGAAAACACAGAGTTCGAAATAAGAGCCTCAGAGAAAAATTGAACTCAGTACATGAAATAGAAAAGAAACAGCAAAATGGGGTAACAGAACGACGAAGAAGAATATGTGAGATAATCAATGCACATAGAAAGCAACAAATCGTATAAATGAAATAGTACAGAAACGTTAAACTTACTGTTGGCTTGAATACTATCTTAATGTATCTATTGAAAATCATATCACGGCTTAAGAAAGCAGTGGTTAGGCTACTGTCGTTATTATGCAAGGCTTTTGAACACATCATTAAAAGCTATGAACATAGAGTTCCGCACAGTTTAGTGTTGAGATGATATAGTGTTGAGATACGAGTACTCTTATTATCTATATGAGAATGAAGCATGGAAGGACATTATGAAAAATAATTACATATGGTTGATAATGTTATGAAATGAATGGTAGTGAATAAAGTTCACTTGACTTGTGAGAGAACGCATACGTTACAATTGGTGTTGTTTAAATGACAGCTTTCTTGTGTCAAATCATGTGAATAAGCTGAACAGAAAGCTTATCTTACTATTCACATAAGGCGCAGGTTTCCCTTAATTATGCTGAAAAAACTTTTTGCCTGGCTATGGTCAAGGTGACAATAGTAACAAATATGAAAAAATATTGAAGAAGCAAATGTATGGCATTGGATACAATCTATTTAGTAGTGCTATTAGTTATTTTTCAACTGAATATTTTTTTATCCGTTTTTTAGGAAATTGCTAATTATCATATATTACCGGTTACATTAGCAATAAACCATTAGCAGCAGGAATGGTATAACAATTATGTGATAGGTAGTTATATGCAAGACCAGCTGACTTTCCGATGTAATTATTTGGATTTTACCGGCATCCGTTAGCTTAGCTGAACTGAAAGATTCTTTAGTACCTTCAGTTGACTTCATAGTTGGAGTATATAGGAATATAAAAAAAATCCATGATATGATAAGACCGAAACTCATGAAGTCAAGAGAATGAGAAGTGAAAGAGAAGAAGGATCTTATATCACATCGATATATATCATAACGATACCTACTAATGGGACTTGAAAGTATTTAAGGGGCTAGACCAGCAGTTTTTTTCAAAAAAATCAGAAGAGGATGACACCAGCCTTAGACAAACAACATCAAGCTGAACAAAATAACCTTACTTCAAATGACTTGCTTCACAGATGTGTTGGTGCGAACATTCAGAATAATAACGAATCTTACGCATGTGTTTAGCATTTGGCTAAACTCCACACATTTTCTAGGAAAAAAAATAATTGAAGTTTAACAGAAATTTAAGATTGGTAGAAACGATTGGCATAAAAAGTAAGAATCATTTATTACTATTTTAGACAAAAAAATTAAATACGGTTTTCTCAAAATAGCATTTTTTGACCTGATTAAGAAACAAAAAGATTTAAAAAAAACTATTGAACCAATCATGTTGAAATTTTAGGGAACTTTTTTAAACATTACTTATGATGCTTGAATAAACCTGAATTGAACCAAAAATTCTTTTAAACTCATATATTCTTACAAGGGTGACTTAGTTATTCAGCAATATGATAATACCTTAATGATAGTTCGTAAAAGATATTTTCAGGCAAATCCAGATGTCTACTAAATTTAAATAAACTCTAAATGAATAAATAAAATAAATAAACTTTAAATAAACTAAATATTAATTAAGAACCTAATGAAAAATCTTTGGATAAATACCAAATAATATTTATCTGGCATCTGATATTTATCCATTACGGGATAGGTGAATCAATAATGGCAAAAGTTACAAGTAAAAATTTGTGGTATTATTTTAAATCATATCATATCACCTTTTTATCACAACTCTATTGAAACCTTAAAATAATTATACGTTTAGCAAACATTAAAATGTCCCATTGTAATTAATCCAAAGCTTTTTATTACTTTCTAATTTTTGTTACTTTTAATTATTTTCTAAACTGAAAAGCTTCAAATTAGGTAGGGACAGATGCGGTAATAATGAAACAACATTTTTGGTCATTAGCGAAATGATTGACTTTTAAATAAAAATATAAATCCAAAAAATCATTGATAATGGTATGTATGATATAACTTTTTTCTTGTAGATAAACGCCATCTTCAGGAGGGTGTAGAACAGGTTTCGTAATATTGCGGTGACACGTTTCTAATATGCTCCTAACGATGGTATAACACCGAAACTAGTCTAGCTTATTAATGTTATTATTATTCCTTCCCATCTTTGGGAATTTAATTTAAATAAAACAAATCTGTGTGTTAAGACGGATTATTTAATTGTTCGGCTCTACCGGTTTCGATTAATAAATGTAATCATCTTCAGGAGATTTGCCACGTCAATTATATTTTATAAATCCCATATCTTAAAACTATTTCTTTATTACACGTTTTATTTCTTTCTTGTTGTTAATTTATTTACATCGAAATCTGTTGTTCTTTTATGTCTTTTTATGTTTATGCAGATTTTGCAGACAGAGAACTAAGCTCAAAAACTGGTGTAGCAACCAATTTGATATTTTAAAATTGTTCTTCTGAATTTAAGACATTCATAACATAGTTAATAACTAATATTTGCCAGCACAAATTAATTAACACATAAGTATATTGTATAAAAATTTTAATATAATAACTGATGCTTTAAGATGGGATTCAAAAAGATGTTCCAACTTAACTATGTCTTTAGAAACAATTTCATGAAGTTTGTAATTGTACAAATTAATTATTTCTCATCACGATTATAAATTATATTTAAAAAAAATATGCAAGAATTAATTTAACAAAAAATCGAACAGAAATAAACATTGCAAATAATACCTATTTTTATCTTAACTTTTATATAACAGACTAAACAACTAGTTTATCCATGCGGAAGCGGATTAAATACCTATTCCATTACGATTAAAGCCACACCTACCTTAAAAAAACTAAATTCTTAACCTAGGTTACTTACTTTTTTCCCAAGGGCTCGAGTTTTAATGACTCCTTTGCCATTGTTTCTTTCTTCAATTGAAATAAAAAAAAACGTTGATAAATGTAGTCCTTCGCGAGGTAACCTTTTCGAAACTGCCTACACTATCTCACTTATGTTGAACTATCACATGTGTGGCGAACGTTGCCAAGGAGTTACATCAGGAGGACACTTATGCCATCTCATTCGACCACCTGAAACGACGAGGAAAATCGCCAAATTAAGATTAAAACCCTGTGTTCCTAGTTTATATATGCGCAAGGTCGCACGAGTTTGCGAATTAACGAAGAAAATAAAACTGCTATGGGTTGTTTTGATACAGTTTTCGGGGTCGGGTCACGTCGATCGATTATTTATCGAACAGTGCATAACTTATTTTATCTATTAATAGAGAGAATCTAAAATTGTCGTCTAATTGCTCTTAATTCGTTGCGAATTTCTACGTCAATTTCTATGCGTAGTATGCAGTTATTAGGAACAATAACGAACAATAAATGAATCAAGCTGACCATGCAATTGTACGCTTAATGTGTCTTGTAACGTAATATTATTGTTTAAAGATATATAATCTAATCAATTTGGAATTATCGTTTATACAAAACATTAAAAGGAAACTAACAGTTTCAAAGTTTGCCAGAAAATTTTATCTTTTTAAAATTACTGAAATATAATTTTGGCACGGTTTAAACACAACAGTGTGTTGTCTCAACAATTTTATTGTTATTTTTTGAAGCCATTATGAGCCAAAATGGGTGAAATTTATTAATTAAAAATTTTGTACTGTTATAATGTGAATAGTATTGAATAATTGTTATAGATTAACCGTGAAAGTATGATGTTTAGGAAAAATTCCACTGTCAAAAAGACGACGGTAAATTGCGAATTACAAATTGCCGTGGAAATTGGCATAACTGCCGTCTGGTTTAAGAATTTAAATCGCTACTCTTGTGTAACGGTTCAATGGAATACAGGGGACGGTTTATAATTTTAATAATGATCAACCTTGCATAAGCAAACCAATAATCTAAGTTTAAATAAGTGGTCTAGGTAACCAAGGTTAATCAATTTTTTTTTTGCAGAGAAAGTAAGAAATTTGATTATAATTAATGGAAAATTTCCATGTCGAGAATAATTTTTTTATCCTAATAATAAAGAATAATTATCCTAATATATTTTATTAACTATTTTAATGAGCAATTAATTTAAATAAAATCGTTATCGTTATTTATAGATCTGTTATGATTATTGTTATTAAGTTTTGATTTGAAATAATACGTGAAGTAACTTTAAACTTTCATTTATATCCAACACTTTAAAAAATTCTATGCAAATGTGGTATTTATTTAAATGTTACAGTCAAAGTGCAAAAAATTTACTGTTTTATTAAAACTTGTTGGAAGTTCTTTATATATTTTTTTGTTCTAATCTGGATTAAATAACAAAATCATGCAATAACTCATTTACGGATTCATAATGATTATAAAAAATTAAGACTCTAACATTATGCGACAATTAAACCTTTGCATATTAATTGAGGATTGTATTTAAATTACTTGCAATCCTTAAAAATACTAAAACGTTTAAATTAAAAAAAAATATCATAAAAATATCTATCTAAACTTTAATTTCATTTAATTGTTATTGGAAATTTACTTCTACAGATAAATCTGCATTATTAATTTTAAATACAAACTCATCAATTAATTATCTTTTCATTTTAATGTCTTACCAGTTATGTAACTAAAAAAATTTTTTTAGTTTATAAAAAACCAGTTGCTAGCAACTTAAAAACTATTTTTTAATTAATTTTTAACTATTTAGATATATTTCTAAGGATGAACAGTGAACACATCCCAACGGTACAACGTTGGAAGTTGTACTGAGAAGACTAAATGAGTACTCCTGTCGTTAAAAATTGCAATGGTCCGTGTTGGGAATGGATCGTTACGTTCAACCAGCAAAGAAGTAGGATAAAAATTCGCGTGATACATAAAAGACAAGACAAGAAGGGATGAGCTTGCGGTTCTCTTTCTCGACTGCTAACGGGGCTCTAATTAAAGAGCACCGTGGACGTCAGAAAATTGAGCGTGTGGACGTTCGGACGACATACACAGAGTCCTATTTAATTTGACTACTGTGTCCCCGACTGTGATTGCAATCATGCTGCAGCCGCACAATTCATCCGCAATTAACTTGCAAATATCACATCCTCTTCACTTTTTTAGATTACTTAACATCGTATTTTCTCCCATAAACCAACAAATCGATCAAGTACTTGTTTAAACAGTTTATTTATATGGGTAATAAATACAGTAGTCAAAAACTACGTTACTATCATTTGTTTTTACAATTCAGTCACACATTTACTTTTTGGCACAAGTCTACAGATTTTACTTACTATTTAAATAGGATACAGCTCGTAATATTTTATGGATAGGGCGTGATATTAAAATAAATAGATGTGGCACCTAGTTTTTGGCAAATAATTAAAAAAAAATTAGAAATATGTTGTTGTATTTATTAAATTTGAGGAAACGTGCGATTATTTATCGTTTAGAATTTTATTATCACATCGTGTGTACCCGTGCGAGGTTCAAATATTTCGTTTGATGATAAGAATTTCTATATTGATTTTATTAAACTTTGATCACAATTATAAATGTTTGGATGTCTTGTTCTCCAAATTTAATATTGTTTAACCTTTAAGTTAAAAAAATGGTGGGAGGGGAGAACACGGTTTAAATTTGATTTGAAATCAAAACTATAAATAAATAAATATTTCAGGATGTATTTCGGACTCCGTAAGATGAGTTATTCAAAATTTCCAACACAATCGAAGATTGGCTTTATGTTTTTTGATATGAGAGGCCGTTTCGCAGGCGATTACGATAATCAGAACGAAGTTGGAGGCTCTGAAAATATATGAAGGTGAAATTGGAATAGTTCAGCTTAGTAATAGCAGAGAGAAAGAAATTAGAGGTATTCTTAAGGGATGGGTGGTAAATTTCGCTAAAGGTTCGATTATATAATTACAATACCAGAAAGAGGAACTGAAAGGATTAATAAGAGTTGCAGAAATGAAGCAATTGTGTAGTAAATTGGGAAAAATAATTTTGGTACATTAAGGATAAGACTGGAAAATGAAGATACTCAAGAGGGGTGGATGGATGAGGCAAATAAAAGGGATTATAATTATAGTGAATAATAATAGACGCACAGTTTAACCCAGAAGTTTAGACTACTGATGTTGCAGACTATTTAGCCTTGTTTCTGATAAGATTATTTAAAATATTTTCAAACTTATTAAGGATTTCGAAAATTTGCAGATTAATCAAAGCAGACTGTTTAGTAACCAAGCTTTTCTACAGATATGTAAAGGAAAGAATATGTAAAAGAAGCATTACATCGACTCAGCTCCAATCTATCTTGAGGATTAAGTGCAAATTCTTTGTTGTGACACTTCTCCTTCAAATTCAGGCCGTATTAATGCCCTTTTTGCTTCTCAAACAAAACCTTATATTAATATAGAAATAGTTGTTTTCTTTGGAGCCAAACCGTCTTCAAAGTAATGGTGTTGAGATAAGTGGAAAAGTATCACCCCTAATGAAATACAATGCTATAAAGAAAAGCTTATATCGTGTCTATTTCCGAAATTAAAAATTTCTTTAAATGTTACTGAACTTACCAAAGAAACAGTCAGAGATGACTATCGTCAGATTCAATCCATTTTGGTAATAAAAGCACCTTACCAACACTTGTGGGTTTTAAATTATTAATAACATCTCGTAAACAGCTTTAACAAACGTTCAGGGAGCATTTATGCTATTTTGACGATGAAGTATCTTCAAGTATCTTTCTTAGCGATGATATCAACCAAGAAAAAGCAAAAAATAGAATTAACCAACAAAAATGTTCCTACAGAGGAAGAAATTTCTTTAGTTCTCTAAGTATATCATAATTATGATAACTATGTTGCTATTTCTTTATTTCAAAAAAAAATTATGATTTCATTTAGGTCAAACGCAAGTTTTCTGTACCAAATGACCTATATTATCGTCAAAGAATATTTAGTTTGAAGAAGCCAGAAAAAAGCTTTCAACGTTTATGGTAGTGAATGACTTAGCTGAATGAACGGTCAGTTTGATACATGACTTTCGTGGTTTATGTTGCGTACAACAACATCAAAAGATTAATCCTGACTGTAAAAACCAAATATTAAAAAGATATATAATAGGTATATGATTTGAGCAGATTCGTGTTTTACTTACCACATTGATTTCTAGAATCCTTTCATATTAACTTAACGCAAACGTGTATGTTTTATGTTTGCTATTATGTCAGCACGGAATATCAGTATTCAATTGGAATAATATTTATTATTTTAGTTTCGAGGTCAACTAGAAAAAGATAAAAGGTATGCGTAAGTAATTTTGCGGAACAGATCCTCCTTTATCTCTTGGGACGTCTCCATCAACACAAATAATGAGATAAACTGTCATTTTCTTGCACACAGTACATATTAGTAAGCTTCGGTATGGAAATATATTTTACCAGAAAGATACCGTGAAGAGTCTACAAGGAAAGCTAATACACCAAGGCTTGAAACACGTCTCAACTCATGTAAAGCTTTGCCTATCATTGCTCCTACTACCTTCTAGAATCTAGATGAATATCTTCAATAAACCAGTTTTTGGAGTCCAAAGTTAAGACTACGATACACAGATATTTGCGATTTCTAAAATTATTTAAATAATCAGCAATGATAAAATTTACCATGATGGAAGACAAGACAACTATCTACGAAGCCTCATTGCATCAGTAACTATCGCCAACAATGGATAATTTAAACACTTACATATGTTATCACACCACCACCGACAACAGATCATCACGAAAGAAGAGCTTCTAAGGACGTACTCTAAAACGCTGGTTAAATGTCGAGCGTTAACAAGAAGAAGTGGCAGTCAGTAGGTATGGTAAGTAGTCGATCTGTTGAATTCATCTGTCTCCCTTTTGTTTCAGGTATAACAGAACGAATAGCCAAGCGACTGTCGAAGGGCGACATTACGGTGAGACATTGAATAGGCACCAAATTACGGAAGGTGTTGAGAGTTCTGCAAATGCGATTAGTACTATCTATGATACACCGACGAACTTTTGAATACTGTATAAAAGAACACGAAATATTCAGCATTAAGGTCGCAGAGCCTTACCTTACAGAACGCTATCATACAATTGGGTTCAGTCCACCGAAAATATAGTTCAGCCAAACCTGGAAAATATTACTGGAATCGATAAGGGATTTCCCCACTCCACATCGAACATATCAATTAGCGAATAGTAGTTAGTTCATTAATAAGTTAATAGTTAGTTAGCTAGGTTTCAACTTTTCACTGATTTTGTCGCTTTTGAACTTGATCTAACAAAGGTTTAATTACAATGTTTTAATGTAGGTACGGCACAACCCGTAAGTTTATAGTTTTGAGTAAAAAAAGTAGTAGTGATACTAAACAAGATCAAAGGTGGAACAGATAGAAAATGGAGATAGTAGCTAACAACCACCATAGGTCTCACCTATGGTGGTTGTTAGCTTGAGAAATAAGGATCGAGAACTGAAGGTGAAGGTAGATAAGACGACTTGGTCGTTTCTGGAAAGTGTAAAACTAATACGACTACATATCGAAATTACAAATTCCATGTCTAACAATATGTAGAACTAGATAAAGATAGGACAAAGTGAATAGGACAAAAATGGAGAAGGCAGGACGTGAGTTCCAGAAGAGATATAAGAGTCACAAATAAGAAGTGACCAATTTCGCGGTTTTCCAACTTATTTCCCAACTATGGGAAATAAATTGTGCCCCCTATCCCTTATTTCCGCCACTGCACATTCCTTCTAATTTTTCATTCGATTATTGTATTCGCCCCGTAAAAATAGCTAGATATGCAAAATTTCATGTTTCTAACCCTAGTAATTTTTGAAATAATGAGAAATAACCACATATTGAACGTCTTCTTCAAAGTGCTCTACCTCCCTTAGGAAGCATTTTAGGACACACCTTTATATGAACGATATGAATGATATTTCTTCATGATTTTTTATGAAGAATCACCCTTTTAAATATATGAACGCAATTTCCGGACAGCCTCTATAATTAGTTTAAAAAGTCATCAATATTCTGCGTAAGACACAATAATGTAATATTTTATAAAAATTAAAATTGGTTTTAAGTTAAAATTAGTTAATTATAATAAACTATTCTTTATTTTCGATTTTAAATTATTTTTTATTCGCAACAGATATTTTTGTTTTTAAATTTTTAATAGGAAAGCTTTTATGGTCAGTTTAAACTCAATATATAATATCGGAAACACATTCCGATTGAAATGAAGCAGTGACATGCATTCAAATTTATAACACTAATGACTAACAACATTTGCAAAACGTCGATAAAGCATTGTTAAACTGACTAAAAGATTTTGAATTTTAGAATAAACTATCACTTCTGGTTAAGTGATTTGATTGAAATTTTATATCTGACTGACCGACACATATTACGTATTAATGGTATGGTGATACCTGTTAATAGGTTAATAGCTGTTAAGGTTAAATACCACTTTCGGTTGATGGATTTATCACAAAAATCAGTCAAAAAGTCATAAAGAAACAATGTTTCTTTTTTTTGCTAGATGGAACACTTGTAAACTACACAATATTTAAGTTCATCTCAAAATTATGAAGAAAAATGTTTACCCCGTCACATACATAAATTTAATCGTTTACGAGATATTCTACCGTTATCTTCAACAAATTTTTCAACTATTAGCAGCTCTTTTATTATGTTATTTTGATCATAATGTGACAAAACATGTAATGTATACTGT